TTATTATATATTTTATTATTAAAAACTGGATCATTGGATAATGCAATTCAAGACTTTTTATTGGCTCAGCCATTATGGTATATGAGCCAATATACCATAATCTAATTTCTGTACATTGTTAAATCCGGTTTCTTCTCACAAAATAAAGTCGAGAAGATTTGTCTAATAGTTTGGGGGCGTTTTTTTTTTTAATAAAACAATTATTCCACTCGCGTTTGTTGGATATGAGATGTTTATAGCCAACTCGGCGCTACGCGCCTCGTTGACCATCTATCATCTCATATCCAACGCGCGCTCGTGCAATAATTGTTAAATAATAATTAAAATAATTATATTTCGGGCGAAGCTCATCACCTTAGTTGTGATTTGAGCACTCTCGCATGGCAACATGCCTGCACTTTGTCCCACAAGTGTAGCGCCCAGGCAGTGGTTTATTCCAGAGCTTGGCCCAGTGTCTGCACTGCACTGACGAGACCCGGCCGTCCACCTTAAACATAAAAAAAAAAACTGACGAGACCCACATAGGTCGAAACAGTGTGCACCCTGTCTGCAGTTATATTTATATTTATATTTATTTATACATAATCAACGAAAAATACATTATGTCTGTTAGTCTGTTGAAAAATGTGGTGCATGATTTACGTGTCGTAAACAAAAATTTAAGTACCGTTATTTATTAACTAAAGGTTTTAAAGCGTCTCTGTGAGCTGTTATTGCGCCACAAAATCTAATGGCAATATTTTTTTTTCTTTTTCTTTTCCTTTGCAATTTTGTGCAACATCACTAGACGATGCAAGTGATGGAAGAAGACGAGGACATTGCGTTTCTTTATCACCTTATTGATGGTTATGCCGAGAGTAGTCTCGCATGCCACATCGCCTCCTTGGCTGGCTTGCCCCATGAATTACTCAAAAGAGCGCAACAGGTTTCTGGCCACTACCTGAGACATAAGTCGATTGTCACCTCATTTTTCTTAAATTAATGTCTTGGTATTAAACAAAATAAGAAAGATGGTAGATTAATGATTTTTTGTATTGTCCCAAGCGTGGGACATAAAAAAAAAAGAAAAAAGAGGGAAAAAAGAAAAAAGGCTTGATTGTTCCTGAGTGGACTCAGAATTTTTCTCTTTGTCCCACGCCCGTAGAAACGCGTGGACGCGTGGTGCATTGTTGGCCTGACTCCAGATCGAAAGGTCCCAGCTTTAGTGCCAGCTGAGTCATTGTGTTGTTTTTGTGCAACACACTTTACTCTCAGTGCCTCTCTCCACCTAAGAATATGAATAAGTATTAGCGAACTATCAGGAAAAAGCTATGAAAAAACTGGAGGTAACTCCGCAATGGACTGACGTCCTTCCAGGAAGGAGTAATGATACTCCAAGTCATTTCATGCTCGTGAAGTCGGAATAACATAGGCAGTAGGGGCCGCGTGGCTCATAATGGGACGTGAACTTTACTTTTGTCAATGCAACAAGAAGATATATACTTCTGAGAGTTAATTTTTAAGTTTATTATCATACGATCGTGGTAATTTGTTTTACTTTGAAGGTGACACAACTTACAAGATGCAATAAACCAATCCTTAAGAAGGACACTGCAGATGACGAAGAACAGCGAAAGAGGTTTAGTTTGGCGTTTCTTCGTTCCTTTTTTGTAAATCCTTCCATGCCTTGACATAGGTCACCTCTAATTTAAAATCTTACGTACGTTGTGTATTCGTGCAGTTTTCCAGTTGTATTTTCAAGAGGAAGCTGCCGAATCATTAACATTTAAGACGAAAACCTGAAATCCTGTTCTTTGTAATTCTCTTGGTTGTTACAAACTCAGAATAATACCGGCCAGCGTGAGCTTTTATTGGAGTCGACGAACGGTGACTCATCCTTAAATAACACTTGAAGTGAACAATTTACATAAATGTTTCACAAGAAAGAAAGAAAAGTTGTATATAACTTTTGGATAAATTCCGTTTAACTTCCTTGCCAAAGGAGGGATTTTTTTGAGCTTTCAAATATATCCATTATGTAATTTTTTTAACCGTAATTTTTTTTGTTGGCGTATGTGTTAATATTTAGTTACGTCAAGCTCTAAAGTCGAAGTTTGTGGTTAAGATACTCTTGGTAATATTGTCTTTGTGCAGGGTATTGTCATCATATTCATCCTTTTGTTTCAGACACAAAGCCATCGTCACGAAATTCTTGGCACTGAATTTGGATAACGAAGACCCTCAAACTTTTCTAAGTGATCTTTTGGAAAATTTCGATGATCGATGATTCTTTTTTTTAATGAAAAGTTTCAACTTGTCGAAAGGCAAGCTCATGACATGATGTTTCCAAGTGGACTTCCGACTCTATATTGCGAACTCACTGAAAGCTAAAAGCTCTTGATGAAACAAATTAACAGAGCTTGATTCCGTCATATTGTGTTATCTTGTTGTATAACTTGTGGCCCAATGTTCATTTCCGAGGTTTCCTCATGACCGACGATTTCATGACGAAAACCTGACTCGTATGATTTCGTGAAAGAATAGCTCCGCCCTAATAAGGTTCAGCGCGTTTTTTCAGTTTTGTCGTGAAGTGTTTGTTATTGTGGCCCAAAGGTTGTTTCTAAGGAGTATTCTTTTTCCATTGTCCGCGTTTTAAGACACTGTGACACCTGTGCTGTGGAGAAACAACCATGCATGAAGTGACGTAGGATGACGTAACGTCATCTATTTTCGATTTGAACAAGGAAAAAAGCATTTATGCATGCCGGTAACATAAGTCGTGTCAATTATGTTGATCAAGTTAATTTCGATTGCCTATGGTTCAGAGAGGAACGTGGCGAGCTGCTCTTGTAAAAACAGCCCATCGTATTTTGCAGAGGTAAGCACCACCGTTTTCAACTTGCTAAGGAAATGAAACACTGTAAATGTCGACTGGCCCGAAAGACTCATCGAATCTGCTTCGAAATCGCTGTGTTTGGCGCCGCTAGCGTGGGCAAGACATCGCTTCTGCGACGATCATTTGTTGGCGAATTTTTCGAGGAATATACTCCCACTATAGAAGATTACTACAGCCACGAGATACAAAGACAAGGTGGTGTGACGGTTTTGAACACTACAGACTGTGCTGGATGCTTTCAATTCCCAGCTATGAGAAAACTGACAATCCAGAAGGCCGCTGGAATAGTGCTGGTGTTCTCGTTAGACAGTGAATTCTCATTTCGCGAGCTTCAAAGATTGCTTGACGAAATTGTCAAGGTTAAAAGCGAGGAAGGAGTACCTATTGTTGTAGTCGGGAACAAAAAAGACTTAAATGTGCGGGAAGTCACAGAAGAAGATGTAGCAGAACTGATAAGACTCCACAGCTCAGATAAATTTCAACTTCGGTACGTGGAAACATCAGCCAAAGACAATCTTAATGTGTCAGAAATTTTTAGTCACCTATTAACATTTCTCATGCCCGAGGCTCCGCCGAAAAAGAAAAGCAAATTCAAAGTTTTCAACTTCAAAGCGAAAGAAAAGTGCAATGTTATGTAAATTATTTTCACAATTTTTAGAAAAGCTTTAGAAAATAATTATTATGGCACGTTATTCCAGATTCTCCATGCTTGTGAGATATTTGATGAGATTGTTGTACATATTCAAATTAGTCTGGAGTAATTTACTATTAAATGCGATTATGGAACCTTTTGTTTTCGTTTAATTATTGCTGTCGACGGTCAGACCTGAAGGAAGTGTTTCCTTAGTCGAACAAGAATTTTAATAATGGTTGACAAGAAAAACAAATACAATGCGGCTTTATTGAAAAATTTGAACCAAAAGTCAATTATACAACTAAGTTAAAAGATTCCTATTTCCTCACGCAAAAATATTCTCTATTTTAAATGGCGAAGGAAGTGTTAATGTTATCAGAAAATCAACCAGCAGTGAAAAAAATCGACTCAGGCAATGTTTTTATGCTTATAGAAACCGTAGTCATTTCTCTTGATAGTTTGACCTTAATAATTATTAGTTTAAACGGATGTTTGTTTTATCCATTCAAGCATTGATAATATTGTGGTGTAGGTGAAGTTTGTACGTAGCTAAGCAAAAACAAAAGACGCTTTGACTACTGTGGACAGTTTATCTCGTATATCCGTGACTAATTTACACCTCCTTCGGCTTCACACGGTCTTTTCCATCAAAGCCAACATTATAATTGGACTCCAACGAATCAACGTTAGAATTTTTGCGAGGGACACGTTTTCAATTATCAAGCTTACGAATCAATTCTTTTAAGTTTCTTCAAACTGGAATGCCCATTACAGAACCATTCCAAGTGAACTTGTAAACTGACTCAAAATTTACAAGGGTCATTCAAACGCTTGATCGAGTTCCGTGATCAACAGGTGAATCTTGGCTTTAATTTTGATATTGGTCATTCACACCCACATAAATTAATTCCAACGCTAAAACGTAATTTTGCCTAAAAATACTTTCTTTTGTCATGCGACCAAAATGTTGTATTTTGTTTAATTTGGAAGACCTTTGATTGAACTCAAAATTTGAAGTGGAATACTTTCAGAAATATTTAATATTCTTAGATTGTTGATGATGAAAACTTTCCTTGCTGATGTCTTTAGACGAGCTAGTGCCCTGTCTGAAAACACTTCTGACATACGTTCTAACGTGCCTTTGTAACATTTTGTGGGCCATTTTATGTCGAAATGAACCATCAGTTCTTTTCATCATTGTCCCTTACAATAAAATACATGGTAACATCACTCTGTAATACCTCTTGCGGAGAAGTGACTCCGCCAATGTGCAACAAATGCTCAGTTGTAGAGATTTACCTCGCGCGAGATTAAAGCTCCATAGTTTTCGCCTTTTTTACTTTTCATTTCTTTGTAATAACAATATGATTTAAGCCAAAATTTTAAAAAAATAAAGATAGACCAATACGTCTTCTATTGTAAACACTTACATGTATTTATGGTGGAAAATATCCAACTTTGAAGGGGTTTGCATTCAGTTCACTGTTTATTTCAAATAGTGCATGCTTAATATTAGGTCATGTCTTTTTATGTCCTCAGTTCAATTAGGAAACTTCCCAGTTGAAATTTCTACAGATATGCCTGAGATGTCGACTCCCTCTAAACTCCTAAACTCCAAGAAAATTTAAGACCATTTCTAATAAAAGTGCCCTGATGACTGATAAAACCGGCAGGCTTTTCGATGATCAAAGAAATAAAACGTAACGAACGAGACAAAATTATTTCCTGAAGTGTTTACAATATCTGACGTTTTGGACTACATTTATTCTTAATTTAAGGTATCAGCCATGTTGCAATTGCTCAAGACAGCTGTCTACACGGTAAATTTATGCGAACAAAATTATTTTCGGATTTATATGAAGTAATCAATGATGTATTCAACGTCACGTTCTATCGTTCGCTCACGTCCGATAGTATAGACAGAAAAGAAAAAAGATTCAAAATTACGGATTTTGTCTGATTCTAGTCATTACCACCTGATTCAGTGACCACATTGCGACCTTTAACCCACAGACAAAGTGTAAGGGAATATATCCAAAACACACGTCAATATCGAAGAATCACCTTGGTAACCAGGAAGCCCTTCATTGACTAAATCTACCAGGCGGCCGGTTTCCCCTGCCAAGGCTGTAATCATGGGTGAGAAAGAGGAGGCGAGAAAGGAAACTTAGAAAAAAAATACGTAATTGTTTTGCGCATTGCTCTTCTTCTCTGAGAGTTGAAAATTAAGATATAATCCAAGATCCAAGAGGTTATAACCTCTATGACTAAAACAAAAATCCCAATCCCCTATTCCTTCTAGATGCGAATTCTCTTACGGATGCACTCTATTTCCTTCCTGCGCCTGTGTTGGGTTTTTTTCTTTTTTTGGTCAGCTATAAATAACAGACGACACGTGATTGAACAAGACTTAAGTGAAGCTATCGGTTACAAAGGAAGTCGAATGTGGAGGAGTGATTGGGGAAAGATTATTGACGTTGTCATTAGTTCAACAGGGGGAAACTGGGCTAGAGTAACAACAACAGTATCAATGCACAGCGGATGTAAGTTCAACATGGCGGCCGTCCGAGGCCTTACGCGGCTTAGAACTCGTGAATTTCTTCGCGGTCGCTGTGTTTCGACTAGCAAGATTCCGAGAAATGCGAGAGGTGTATCACAGGGGGAAATGCGTATTCTAACATCGCAGCACGGTTTATTCAGAAAGGTAATATTTTCCAGCAGTAAATTTGCGAGAATTGCGCTTCTGTAGTGTAAGAACCTGGCCAGATGCAACTAGTATAAGACTCATGTTAGCAGCGATCGATGCAGTTAATTACACTCATAGCTCAAACGATTTGTTCTATTTCCTATTTTAAACAATTTTTTAAGCGTGGCTTTTTAATTTCGATCTGAGAAACAAAATGGCGTGGGGAAATCAAAATTTAATAAAGAAAGCAGACACGATTCAATATTCTTTTTCAACTGAACCTGAGCAACCTTAGGAAACTGAGGCTAGTCGAGTGGAGTTTTTTTTTTTTCAATCGTTTAACCCCTAAGAGTGACTAGCATCTAAATTCTCCTAACAATATCACCCCTGAATGAAGCATTAAGGTTGTGAGAATAAAGAAAATGATCACCAACTCAAGAAGCTCTTGATTGTTACAAGATTCTCCTGGTCAGCACCTTGGAAAATGTTTAAAGAACAGTATTGAGAATATACATACTGATGTTAGGGTGTAAAAGGTTAACTCGCACCTGATCCAGATAAATTTGCTTTATCGTCATCCATCCATTTGATATGCCATGAAGTAGGGGTTGTTTTCTCCACTGTTGTAGTATACAAGAGGTTTACAAACTCGTTGCCTTTCCTTTAAGGCAATAAGTGGTTCATTGTCTACTCATGGTCCATTCAAAGCCGTGTCATTTTTGCGACCATTGAGCAGCCAATCACAAAGCAGCTTTTTGGCAGACCTGAAGTCAACTCCACCGCCGGCTGTATATCTTGGCTTCTCTGGAGCAATTCCATTCTGTGGCCTAGCTGCTGTGGCATTTGTTTCTCCAGAACACTTAAATCTGGTTGCTCATGCTCAACAAGCATATGGGGCATGCATTCTGTCATTTCTTGGGGCAGTACATTGGGGTTATGCCCTACCAAAGACTAGTGAACTTAAACCAGACTGGAACACACTTGGATACAGTGTTACTCCGTCTCTCCTAGCCTGGTCAGCCTTGCTGATGAATCCTGTACCAGGACTGACAACATTGTGTTTTGGGCTTGCTGTAGCTTTATGGAAAGATTTGAAGACAACTTGTTTTCCTTCATGGTACATCGCCTTACGAAAAGCTCTGTCTACTTTGGCTATGACTTCAGTTGGTTTAACTGCAGCAGTCTTGTATTTTCAATAGTCAGATGTATATGACACTTAAAGAGAGGGTTATTGATATTTCTGGTTATAATTATATATTTGTTGCTGTTTTAAGTAACCATTTTATTCTCAGATTAACCTCTTCGAACGGTGGAACTTGGTTTGCAAAGGACAATGCATGGCCTTTTTTTGTAAGCTTTTAACATGATCATGGTGTAAGGACATTGTCCAAAGTTGATTACTAAGAATTTTTAAGCCACCTGGTATATTGAGTTTTTTATATCATCCAATTAAAGTGCTGTATGGTGGCTAATGATTTGGAATTACTGCCTTGGATTTCATTACAGTTAAAACATATTAACCAACTGCACAATGTAGAGTACAAATAATGCATGAATTGAGTACAAATATGACACGATATTTGTACTGCAGAGAACCATAAATAAATATCAGCAAAATTCACCCACACTGTAATAACAATTTGGCATGTTGGATAAATGTCTTATTAAACGTTTTGTTGTGTAGTATCGCTGTGTATTTTTACTCGTTGTTTGTAATTTGACTCGCCATAAGGGCTTGTCAAAATACAGCACAACTCGAAAAAATACTCAGTGATACTACACAACAAAATGTTTAAATGTTGAACTTAGTCCATACACCCAGGCTTTAGTTAAGGCTCTTCTGTTAATGGGTAACCCATGAAATTTTCCTTTAGGAAATCTTTAAAGAGCAGTCCACCTTAGATTTCTGAGGCAAATGTCTTTGGACACCCAGTGACTCCTCAGGACTCTTCTATTTCCTCTAGTTTAGGTCTTGTTTATTTTTCTTAGGTATTTTTTCCTTATTTCTAAGTTACAATTATTATTTTAGAGAAATGTTTTGTAAGATATTGGGAATGAAAAATCAAATTAACAACTTAGTTTGCCCATAACTACTGCTGTAGACAATACACAACTACATTATGTTTGGGGCGTTTATAAATGTTATTAAGGGTTCATAATTTTTATTCTGATCATAAATCATCAGAAATGCTAACCCAGGAAATCTCAATTTTATGCCAATAAATTGAAATTAAATGAGGCCTATTTTCTAAAAGATGAGCTTAGGTAACACTTGTTCATTCAAAAACTTCCCCACTTTATAAAAAGCTGGAGGTCATAATTTCTTGGCTACTCACTTGAGCAAAGAAAAAGTGTTATTCACTAGCCTAGCAACTTACTGTTAGTATAAGAATGTCACCTTTTTTTAATGCTTTATTTTTCAAATCTCAGTTATTTGTAAAATATCATAATAGTAAGGCATTACTGAGGAAATTTTAAGCATACAGAACCACTGGCGTGTACTGCAGCATTACACGCATGTGATGTACGTGTGACCAACACAGTGTAAATTACACGAAATCAGTCATCTAAAACTATTCAAGCTTGTCAGTGTCTTCAAATATAAGATGCAAGTCTCATATGAACCTACATGTAATAGCTATTTGATGAACATATCATTGCATATTCTCTTATCATTTAAGCAAATCTTCCCTACAAGAGTTAAATAAGTAAATTCAGTTTTGCTACTTTCTCCCTTTGAAAGAACTGATCTATTTGTTTTACAGTATTGTGCACAATATTATGCCGTATTGGTTTCCATCAGAAGTTTTTCATTGTTTCCTTAGTTCTTAATTGATCTAAAGATTTTTCCACTTTTTAGTGAGTTATGGCTAGGCTTTTCGTGATGCCATAATGCAAGATCTTGGAAAACCAATCAGAAGCCCTGAGCCCCATTAATCGTGGACTGTAATTTGTGAACCCAAGATTTCTCCGAGATCCCTCCGAGGTTTTTTCGTTTTCAGATAATTGTTACCACTTTTCTTCCTGGTTTAATAGTTTGTGAACGAAAATTAGTGTTTTGACGATAAAGGAAACTTTTGCTAGACAAAGATTCACAGCATTGAAGATTACGGCTAAAACTAAAATAATTCTATACTCAAGGAGCAATACAACCTCGTTCCCAGAGTTTCTCATCTTCCCTCTCCCCCACCCCCCACCCCAGGAGCGGGATGAGAAACCCTGAGAACGAGGTTGGGAGCAATAGTGTAAAAAGGCGGTTGTGCCCGTAAAGGAGGCAACAACGCAAAACCCAAGTATAAGAGCCTGCGGGCTCAACAGACGGCGGTAAGAGGTCTTTAGTGTAGCGGTAAACGCTAGTCACTGACTTTTTATTGAAACCTCCGGTAGTCTCTTCCTAACTGGAAGTACTTTTTTACTCGCGCAAACAAATAACTCGTGAAATCTTCACGAAGATCTTCAAACACGATGCTTTGTTCCCATTAACTGTTGAGCGTACAGCTCAAACTTGAACCACATTTTAAGAATTGCAATAAGCTTGAAACACCATCAGAGCTAGTCGATCAGCAGAATCTAATCCTCATCTGTTTGCCCCCCGAGCTGGCGATGGATCTCTCGATCTTGGTGTAGGGTACGGTTGAGGTGTTGATAGCCTAATACGAGGTGTGGCAACATGAGATGTTTTTGCTACTTGTTCTTTTTTTCTTGCGCTCAAGTTCGTGTTAATTCTCGGTTGTACGTTGTATTTGGATTTTCTCGTTTTTCGCTGTTGCTTTGGACTGGTGGACATACTGCTGGTAACGCTCGCTGTGTCTGATTCATCGTCAAAAAATTCTGGCTCAGGAGGCTGTGAATAAAAGTCGCATTTTCAACATTTATAGGCAGATAATAATCACCGTTCATCTGAGTTATATGTGGCATTACGTACGCGCGATTTCCAGCCTCTGTTCGGAAAATAAGCCCGCGTTTCTTCCGGTGCCTTATCGGAAAGATCGGAGTCCGCACTCGAGGAAACGGCGAAAATCAAGCCTGCAGCATGTGTGGCTGACGAGCAAAGGAAAGGGCTGAGGAAAGTTTACCTCAAATATATAAATCGTTGTGTTGCGCATTTGAAACAAAGGAAAGAGTGTTGTACTTACATCATCCGTTTGAACACATGAATCGCTCATTTTTGCCTTGTCTGTTTGAATGTGGATGTGACTTAGTGGTTTCCTCTCTGTTTGGACAATGCTGTCAATCAACTTTAAACTAATCGTCTGTGTGTCGACAGTCGCCACTGGTGTTGGTTCTTCCGCTTCCGTTTGGATCATTAGTTCAGCCGTTTCGACTTCCGGTTCCGGTTCTGTTAACATGCAAGCACTCTGTGTTCTGACAACAACTGTTTGTACTTGAGATGTGTTGTACAAGACTTGCATTGTTTGCGTGTACGCTGCCGCCGTTGGAATCTTGGGCGGGTCAATGTAGACTGTCTGTTTATGAGGTAAATAATATGAGATTGTATCTTTTCTTCAAGGAATGGACTATCCTGAACTTAACAGTTAAGAAACGGGCTCAAATCCCGTCAAAGACTAAAAATTTTCAGTTTTCTTTCTTCAGCTTCTCTTATCGCAGCTCCCCTGCAAGGATAATTTCATTATATTTGTTTCATCTGCGCGTCAAATTTCATTTGATTGTGATCAGAGAAGTTTTCAATTGAGTGTCGCCGGTGATCCGATATTGCTTTACTATATTCCTACACTTGCACTCTCTGATTGGTTTAAAAAAACTCGCGCCATACCCCTCGACTTATCTGATGCAAAACTGAAACCAAACCTGACATGGTTACGTCCGTTTCTTTTCCATTGCGACCATTTGCACGTTATCACCTGGAGTTCTCATTGACTGCCTGCAATATTTTCCTTTTTACCATATTTGGCACCAATGTCGCAATCTGAAAGACCAATTCACCGTTGTCGATAAGAATAGAACAACGCTGCTCGCGTCAACATCTTACGGTAACGTGTCACGCACTGAATTTTCTTCTCTTATTTGACGTCGATATTGTGATTTAAAAAAAAAAAAAGTCGGACTCGTGAGGCGCAGCCTGATTGGCCTTTGTGGTTACCGTTGTCTTGGCACCACACTCAATTGGAAAGCAGTCTATGAAAATAATTCTAGTAAAGAAACGTATCTCCTAGGCCCTATAGATTTTGCACAACCAGGATTTGTTAAGAGAACAAATTTCTTTTCCTTAAAATGAATGAAATAATCACAACAATACCAAAATACAACAAAGTTCAAGTCGAATGAACCAGCGACAATCCTCTTCTGGGAAACCGATGCTTTCCCCCCCCCCCCCCCGTTTTACACTCGTTATCTTTTCTACTTTACTTCCTCAAGAGAAATGGAGTCTACAAAATTTACTTGCCTCGGTTACAATACGGGTCTCTCCTTCTTTGGTTCTGTTTGGTATGTTGTTGACCATGTAGTCCCACTCCGGAGAGACTGGTGCACAGGAGTAGGGACCTGAGCACGAGGCCAGCTGGGGTCTGAACGTCTTGGGATTCGCACACACATCACATTCACACCTGCTACAGTTGTTCTCGTGTCTCATTTCTCTATCGTTGCTTTCTTCAGATGCGATCTGTGATTTCTTCTGGCATTTCTGAGCCCGTTTTAGCTGTTTTAAAGAGAAAACAATCCCAAATATTAGTCAAGGAAATTTCTGATAGATTTTTGCACTTTACGCAGGAATACTTCAACACGCAGAATAGGGTTAGTAACAAAGAGTTGCGTTTCTGCAATAGGCTGCAATCCTGTAAAGGCTTTTGGACTAAGTCACATGACGCTAATTTGTCTCATGAAATCACTTCTTACGTATTTGTGCACGATCCTCGCAGTAAATAACACTATTTAAGTAATAGTGAAAATCAGACCTGAAAAAATTCAGGCCTGTACGGGATTCGAACCACTGACCTCTCCGATACTAGTGCAGCGCTCTGCCAATTAAGCTAGCTGGCCAACTGGGAGCTATTGCTTAAATTGTGTTCTTTACTGCGAGGATCGTGCACAACTACGTTTCTATAACGCAGTTCAGATATATGAATATCATATATTCGTTGTGTTTGAAATCACTTTTATTGACCTCAGATAGGTCACTGTTGAATATCAAACCCGACAGATGAATATATGAAGTTACGATGAACCAACAGTTTTAGTACTGACAATTATAAGAGCATCAACAAGAGCTACAAAAAATCACAGGAAATCTGAATTTAAGTCCAAAGTTTTGCTCAAATATGCTCTTTCTATCTTTAGGGACGTGAAATATCACAACATGATTGTCCTCAGTTTTTTTCTAGTGAGGTTGAAAATAGAATAGACACTTTGGCTTTTTAGAGGAGTCACGAGAGTTGGGATTCTTTTATTTCCCTAGTTAAAGAATTTCCGAGATAGAGGTGGATGTGGAGGCACAGTTGCCCTAGGGTCCGACTCAGCCACTTCTCCTTCTTCCTTTATCTCAGTGGACGTAATTTTCCTAGGAGACTGACTTATTCTCACCTGGGGAACGACTCCAAGAATCAGCAGTGCCGCAGATATAACAATCATGACGAGACCTGTGACACCGTAAAAGGGATTGGGATACCGCCGCACGTGCATTATTACGGGAATCTCGATGGCACACATTACACTTGCTATTGCCACACACAGGGCACAGTTTCGCGTGTTGTTACACAACGGCATACACAGGTGGCGTGCCGGCCAGGATACTAAGGTGCCAATTAGGAGAAGTACTCCCTTGGGAAGGAATAGGAGAGCCAATGCTCCCATCTCGTTGTCCGAAATGCATTCTTCAACAAGGACTGTTCGCTCGTGGTATGGACGGAGTGTGGATACCTGTTAAAATTCAACAATTGGTTTAGGATGTTCGTTTAGTTAGTGAGAAGGGATGGTGCAGAGGTGAAAGGCTTGCTTCCCACCGCTAGGGCCTGAGTTTGAATTACGGACATGACGTCACATATGGGTCGAGTTTGGTGTTTATTTTCTTCCTCGCTCTAAGGGGTTTTCTCAGGGTTCTCCGGTTCTCGTATCTTCAAAGAAACCAACAGCTCAAAAAAACTGGACGAACTACGACCCCATGGCTGTGCCACTGTTAAAATCTAATATAATTCTAATCTAAGAAAGTTTAGTACGAGTAATGTGCAGTTTTCAAAACTTATTTTATAATTATGAGCAGTTAATAATAAACTCATTTCAACCAACCTCTCGCAAAGCTCTCACCGCACGTGGGTTAAAAATAACTTGCCACGTGATCAACAAAATGACGTCACAAATGAAGATAACAAGCGCTATGAAATGCATCCCCATCCATGGAACCTGAATCAAGAATGAAATTTTGTCACCGTTAGAAGTGATTAAGATGTAATTTCTCCCTATAATATTCATACATTATCCAGCAAGCAGGTAATGAGAATACTCAAACTCATCAGATAGAAGTTGTTATCTTGATGTAGCACCACAGTCATGTAACTAATTTACAAGGAAATGTGTAGAAGCTAGAGGGAAGAACTAACAATCAGATCATGAAACTTAAAAAATAAAATAAGAATAGGGGGAAGAGGTAAAGCGAATGCGAGGACTTTTACAGGACGACACAGGTTACCAGTATACACCAGGGGACAGTTTTAACACCGCCAAACGAAAACGCTGGAGAAGATGTGGCCTTTTTCCAGCGCGAGAAAAGATGTTATCGTTAAAAAGCACAGGAAAATATGTAACTGTTGGATAGCTTGGTATTTTGTGAGACCCTTGCATGCCGTGGGAAACTTGTAACTCGCACTGTTTAAATAAAGAGAGAATGACTTGAAAATATTTTTAGTTATTCGTTTGCGAATTATTTTTGGGTCCTTAGATACTTTGGCATGTTCAAAGCAAGCAAAAAGAAGAACCTTACTCCCGTTAAACCCTACGACTCAGTGGAAATGATCTAGCCTTCCATTTTAGGACACGTTTTGAATTTTTGTTAAGCATTAAGTACACATGCGCACCTTTTTTATCGTAAGCGGTCTCCATGATACAACTCTGAAAGCGAAGAGAACTCTGGGAAGTACGCTGGCAAGACACAATGTGAATCCCAGGCTAAGAAACCAGGAACGAGTCTGAAAATGAAACAAGGCTGATAGTTTCTAAAGAAACTGTTTGGGGCTGCGTCGGTGGGGGTAACGAAATAATTTGAATATATCAAGAAAGTTGAAATGGTAAATTGGCCACCGTTACGATTATAAAAGCTGACGTTTCGAGCGTTAGCCCTTCGTCGGAGCGAATAGAGGAATTGTGGGTTCTATGTGCTTTTAAAGGCAAAAAATGGAGCTACGTTATTGGTGGGAACATGGCAACAAGAAAAACACGAATGAATTAGTGGAAAGAATAGCGTTCTTTGATACCTGTGGGATGTAGACTGCCGGTTTGAAAGATGAGCTTTTGTTCAAGGTTGAAAATGAAACAGATACGATACCAATGTCGCATATTGAAGAAGACAGAGTTTTTTCAAACTGTACTGGTTTCTGTTCTCTCCGAATTATGTTCGCCAACATCTAATCATAACTTTCTGTAAGTCTGCTCAATCGATCGTACACATTTTTTTTTCTAAAGGACAAAAGCCTAGAAATTAGACACCAGTTTCCCGTTTTGATCATTCATTGTTCCTGATAATAAGCAGGCTTGAAGAATAAGAAGGTGGTGATAAATTTAGGACAGTCAGGGGGTCATCAGGAAATCTGCTCTATAAAAAAGAGGAAGGACCTATCTTTTTAAAAGTAAATTTAAAGGGGTCTGAATTTTTTTTTCTTTTCCATGGAAGGAGTTTTAACATTTCCTACTGCTTTCTGATGGTTCTTACTAGCCCCCCTACGTCCCCCCTCCCCCCCCCCCAGTAAGCAGAAATGATGAATGGTTTCTTATGGGTTATCCTAGCTTTTCCATGTACTTACTCTTACCTTACAAACCCACTGCATCGATTGGAAAGAAATAAGGGCACTGTCAAGCCCAAACAGCACAACAGAAAGTAGATTCAACATGCAGCCAAAGATGAGCAACTCAGTCAGGTAAAAGCCAGAATGGGAGATGACTCTGATTTGTTTTGTAATAAGAAACATGTGGTTAGCGACATTATGAAGGGAAAACAATTGGATCGTATTGCGCAGATGAAATGAAATTGAAGTCCCGTGGTTGTGATTATTAGCAGAATTTGGTTTGGCCTCAGCGCATCAATTTACAAACCAGAGTTTCTCTTTGCAACATTCTAAATCTCTGTGCAGCATGTTCCGAACCACTTCGAACTGTCACAACTTTAAGGTGGCTCTGTGCCAAAAATAAAATGGTAGCACTTGATCCGCCAAACAGTACGCCCCAAAGCAGGAAGGTACTAAATGAGGAAACCGTTTTTAGGTTTTATAAGGAGGGTCGTTGCAATATTCTTGGTATGTCTAGGTCACATTGGACTACCCTTAACTTGAAGAAGGCTTCAGCTAGAATACCAGCTTAGTTATTCAAAAGAAGCATAAAAGAGGCAAAAATAAGCCGAGAGGAACAAGTATGGCGGAAGCTGGAGGACAATAAAACGGACTGTGGATAATTAATTTAATAGAATGGCTAAATTTATCAAAACGAACCAACAACTGGCAACTTACGAGTGCAAAATCGATATCGTTAAAATGGTTTCGGCCCACCACCAGAAACGAAGCAATTTAGAGGTTTACCTACCTATGTCGTCGAAAAACTAGAAGTAAAGCCAAACAGAGAACGCAGCAGACGAGAAGGAATCCAGAGATCAAAGACCACGAGATGAAGAGAGGAAGGCTGATGTATAACCAAGAATCTGTTGAGGCCTTTCTTTGATATGGTTGGCCAGCTGTGGATTGAGAATAAGATGGACTTCTTTTCTTAACAAATGGTAAACGCCGCAGCGCACACCATTGACTTTATGGATACACGCGAGAGTTTGCAAAGCACGAAAGAAGCACAAGGCGATAGCCGAGAGTGACCCTAAATTCTACTAACAAATCTTACGTGACCAAGTGACCAAAAAAAAACAAGCGCGCGGAAACTAGTTAGGAATGTACACCCAAGGGCAAATTTTGGACACTAAATTGACCACTCAGAGTATGCGTTTTACTTTGGTAGTGCTATAATTCTCATTACCATTCCAAAAAAATTATCTTAGGACCAGATGATGAGAGCAAAGACATCGATCTGTTGGAGGGCGATATCTTAATATAAGAGCAAAAACTCAGTCCGACTAATTTACGAGGAAATTTGTGGCAGCAAGTAGGAAGAATTATTTACCAGATCTCGGGAGTTAAAAGTATTTAGAATAACGTTAAGGAAAACTTAGAAGCTAGACTGCTCCCTGCTTATGGACGTTTTTCGCCGAATGATTTCTGTTTTCCTCCTTTTGTGTGCTTGTAAAACATTCACTTCGAGGAAGAAACGAGCCTCATCTACACTACCTAGAAAATCTCACCTTTTTGCGAATGAAAAATGTTCATTCTCGAATTCGTTTCTCCTCTCTGCCGTTTGCGTTTGAACCAACCATACAAAAAAAACGTTCTTCGAGACATGTACCTTAAGGTTTAACAAGGAGCTTCTAACAGGACTTACCTGGCCACTGTACATATTTCAAAACCGCTGGTGTACTGTTTCCAGTTGAATCTCCCTTCAGTAGTAGGGAGGGGGGATTGTAGTCATATACACCCACCTCAAAAGAGCCAACTGGACAAAAAGGAAAAAAAAAGATAACAATGGATTCTTTTTCCTTTTAAAGAAAAAAATAGTTCTATTTTTTTTAGCCGTGAAAGATATATTACTGAGGGGCTGAATAGGAAATACCTTCAACTTTTATTCAACAGAAAGCATTTGAAAAGGGAGCTGATGCTTGTCTACCGCTTACCAGATTTCGTAAACTGCTGGATGAAGACTTTGCACTTCCGATTTCCATTCTCATCAAACGCGACCACACCCTATAACCGACCAAAAGTAAATAGAAATTGTTTCAAAGATAGTAAATTGACGTAATCACCTCAAATAAATCACACTCCATAACAAAATAATAATCACTTCCCCACACTCACCGCTCCTTATATTCTCAGTCTCCCAGCCTCTTGGTACAAATTTCTTTCTCTCACCAGCCTTCCGCTTCCATTAAAATCATAGATGACGGCCATAATTTTCGCTACGAAAATACTGAGCAGTTGCTTGCCAAAATACACCTGCTCTGCAGCTAGTTATAACTTAGTTCTTATTAACCGACCTAGCTCGGTTAATAAGATGTTTATTATATGGCTGTGTCTTATATGCCAATTTGTTATATTCATTGTACCTTTTTTTCTAGACCGGTCTAGATGGGAAAATCTAGACCGCTTTCAATATTGATTTCAGCCAATCAAATTTGTGAATTCGGTAGTTCCCAGTCCTTGTGAGACACAGCCATATAATAAATTTTGGATAGAAAATCAGTGACACGCTCGCCTGTGGCTCATAGGCAACCTTTTCTTGCTTCTTTTTGTCTTTTTGTTTTTGTCTTAGTTTTTCTTTTTTTTTCCTCGTTACGTCATCTGTAATCTTTACCTGAACTGATTCAAGACAACATGGTATTCTCTAACAATTGTCTGCACGTACAACCCTTACCGAAGGTCCCGTAAAATGTACTTGGGCTGCTTCTTCCTTCAACAGCTCGCTCACCATCAGTCGCCCGTAGCCAAGGTCGTGTAGTTCCATGCCCCACGCAGTAAATACTGGCCGAGCGCGCTCAAGAGTAACGGCAATCGCCCACATTGCCTCGTAAGCAAATGGCGCATAAGTACTACGGAATGAGGATGGAATCCTTTCTTTGTAGTGCGTAAAGAATTCATCGGTTGTCTAAAAAATGGTAACATGCAAATTACTTAAGTGCGAAAATGTACTTTTTGCTAAGAGGCAGGAAAAGGAAATGGTTTGGAGGGCAAACGCTGCCTCATCGTATAAAGTACATGTACCTTTCCTGACACTAAAGTGTTGCTGATTTCATTCTTGTAGTAGAAAGTAAAGTGGTGATCCAATGCTTCTTCCATCTGTGATCTCGTGCAATCTAATTTGGTGGAGGGTTCAGGAACCCACCAATCAGATGTTACATTAACATCCGGGGTAGATGTTACCATCCAGACGTAGTTTTCTCCGTACATTCCGTTACGATATGCCTGAAATGGAAAAAAGTAATAATCGAGAAGTATTAGAATAGGACATCATAAAAGATTGCCATACCACCCCTGAGTAAAAAAGTAAGTAAAGTCTGTTTACGAGCCTAGTGGCCCATTAGGCCGGTGCTTAACTCCGGTTTCTGTAGCATGAAGCGGCTAGGAGTATTTCTACTCCCCCTGGAAGGGATGCTAGTCCATCGCAGGGTTACCCCCAGAATTAAATTGTCGGTACCCATTTATACACCTGGGTGAAGAGAGGCACTGTGAGAGTAAAGTGTCTTGCCTAAGAACACAACACAATGTCCTGGCCGGGGCTCGAACCCGGACCACTCGATCCGGAGTCGAGCATGAGTACTCTAAATGAATTCTGAGATGCAGGCCATAATCGAAAATTATAACTACTTCTAAGGTGTAAACAATAAACAGTCAAATACTGCATATGGCTACCCGTTCAGCACAGTTTTTGTAGTATTGAAAAACGTTTGTGAAAACGTAGTCTTTCAGAATATTTGTCTCACACAGTAATATTTGCAATGATAATAATAATAGTAATATAATAACAATTTAAAGAGATTAGCTCGAAAGCCTCATGCTTCCCCTATCTCTGGGTTCCAACAATGATAGCCTATACTTCTTTAAATTTCGCCTGTTAATTGGATACAATTTTTTCATTTTATGTTATTTTCTTGAGACATTTGTATTTAGAATATTCCGCCATTCCGCCGATCCGCCGCAAATTAAGCGGCCCTTTTCGACAAAAGTCGCTGATTCAAACAGTTAAATGCTCTCTTTTCCGCGAAAAAAACATTCATATAAACACGTACGTACGCACACACGTACGTACCTACGCACGCACGCACGTTCGTACACAAGTACGCAGGCACCCCCTGTAAGCCGTACGTAGGCATTCACGTGCGCACGCACGCACGCGCGCACGTTTAAGGAAGCTTTACTGTTTCGGTTAACTTGCCCAATAATGGTTGCAGACAGAATATAAGGACGGGGAAACAGTCTTCTTCCCGTGAGTTTAGACACAATAACAGACTTACCTGACAAAACACTTCCCTTGCTCTGGAGTGATGAAATGTACCGATGATAATGTGGGCTCCCTTGTCCTAAGAAAGGAAAAGCCAAAATATTACTTTTGTCCAGAGTGTGCAGTACGCAATAACCATGACACAAATAGCATCCTCTCTCCGATCTTCTGGGGACGAACTGGAGTTAAAATCTGCAACTAAGGCCCCGACCGCACAAAACGAAGCAGACTGAATTTTGTATTCCTCCCCCAAGATTTTTTTTCTTTTTTTGACTCAGTCCGCTGTTCACACGTACACTGCTGTGCTTCCATTTAAAAACACAAACATTCCAACAAGTCTTCTAAAAGTAAATTCCTTCCTGCACCTTCAGGATTTCGACAGCAACTGCCGTATCTTGAGTAAAGCCTTCATTTGCCACGATTTTGCTACCATTGCCTTCCAGACTTTCAGCGAGATGTTCGCTTATCTATGAAGCAAAACAGTGCAATAAGGATCACTTAAATCTTAATCCTCAAGTTTATCAGGGTTACCAATCGTGATCGAGTACTTGGGACGCATGGACTAATCAGCTTAGAGAATTGAGAAAAAGAATCTGGTTTTCCTAATAATATTGAGTTAATCTCGATATTAGCTCCATACATCTGCTCGACTTTTGAAACATCTCTATCGGATTTTCAATTGCAAAATTCCGTCTGTTAGCGTGCGCAGTAAAAGCTAAGAAAAAATAGGAGTTGTATGCACACCGTGCAGGGCAGAACTCCTCGGCGCATGCAGTTCTGATTCACTTGCAACCGCTTGAATCGAGGAGTTTGGAGCAGCTAAAGAAAGTGCGCAATGACGATAACGAAAGAGCAGGAGTAATATGCACACTGTGCACAGCAGAACTCCTTGGCGCATGCATGCGCAGTTCTGATTCCCTCGCATTTGCCTGAATGGAACAGTTTGGAGCAGCTAAAGAATGCGCGCTATGGCGATAAAAATAGCAACACTACGTTTTCTCGGCTGAAAAATAACATAAATAAATAAGAATGATACAGCATTCTATGGCTACAGCAGCTATAATTTTAGCCTATAATCATTTTATCATCAAAGCCCGGTACATGCCACAAGTAAAGTGCTGCATTCAGCTTCTGCTATGCGCAAGTTTCATCCACTGCAGGAATGATAACACAAACATGCTGAGAAATTCACATGATTGTAAACTCACCAGTGAGTAGTATGGTGATGCATCATAAATCAAACCAATCTCGTCCTTCCAGCCAAATTTATTGACAAATTGTAAACGAGGTTCATTGAAAACGAATTCTGTTGGAACGGTGCGGAAGAATAAAGGATATTGGTCTCGTTTGGTTGTAAGCTCCAGGTCGGTTGCTCCATGGGAAAACTGCATAAAAATATATATACAAATCGAAACGGTATAATTAGGATCAGATCGCTTAAAATTGAGCATGTTTCTCGAAGGAAAAAAAAACTGTTCTTTGATCAGTAACACCAGATTCACTCCGCTTGAATTGTGATGGCGTAAAGAATGTCATTTTTCTTGAAACACTATTTATTTAAGTTTGCATGACTTTTCTCTGTCAAAACCTCCTCTAGCGCCAATGTATCTCCATCCCTTCCCCACAAAGAAATCACACCCTCCGGATGTGTTTGAGGAGATCTGGGGTTAGAAAACGAGAGGTTACACAGCGAGCACATACATCAAAATGGCGGACAAGACGGTGGTTTTCTCATTTTCGCTTCATTCTCATCCTGATCCATATCTCGATACCTCAATCCAGAGAGCTACGGGTAGGCGAGATATTCTGCTAAATATTTTGGCAAGTATTCAACTGGGCGTTAAAAATAATCTTTGTTGAACCTTTCAATTTCCTTCAGGCTTAAAGTGATGATCGAGAAGATGGTATAGGTAAGTGCGATTTCTTATGTTAAGGCAATTCAAAATCATGCAACAAATCAATAACCTGAGAAAATTTCGATTTTCTTGCTGAGTATCATAATAGTTTTGTTCAACATGTACACGTTTATTTAACCACCTATGCACGTTAAGTACATGTAACTAGAGAACTCAGATTAATTCCTACCTGTAAAATGCCAAACTTAGGCAGTCCAGCATATGCAGCAACTGTTTTTGCCAGGTCACCATTAAAAGGTCCGAGGATCATAAGTTTTTGAGGTGGAGTGTTCAAATATTCGTACAATACTTTGGTTCCTTCGCTGAGTTCACCCTGTTAGAAAGACATTTTATTATCCTCAGTCCTTAAGTACTGTGCTACAAGAAGAGGAGGTCTGTTTGACATTGGAAGAGGAAAACTTATTGTTTAACAGTTTGGAATTTATTTAGCTTGCAGTGCAGGTGTCTTACTGGGGCGAGTTAACGTTGTAAACTCGCGATCGTTTATCCTGCCTGGTATGTTTGATGTAGAGTTAGAGTGAACGGTGGGGGAGGGGTACAGGGGAAGGTGAAAATTTCTAAAATCTCCCCACCCCTCTCCTCTCCTTCCTTTTTACCGTCGCTCACCCCTTTAATGCAAGTTTCTTCCTCTCCCCAGCCTTCCACCGTTGTAAAATCAAGGATGGCAGAAATTATTTCCAATATGAAAAACCTGAGCATTCACTCGCACAATTCACGCCTTCTCCTTTAACTAAAAGAGTTCTTGAAGGAATTACTTCTGGGCCAGGATTTAAGAAATATTTTTGTTTCGAAGAAAATAATAAATGTCTCGTATGTCGACTTCTAAATATTAATAAAAAGTTTGGTGATTCGATGCTCAGCAGACGAATTTTTTATTTTTTTTTTTTCATTTTTTTTTTTTTTGTAGGAAATGTAATGAAGTACAAATATTCTAGAACTCATCAGTGCTTATGATTCGAAATACCACATTTGGTAATTTATAAATCTACCACAGCAAAATGGCCCGTTTACGGTGAGTGTATAAGGATTATCGTAGCCAAAACTGGTGTGTTTTCAACACGAAGTGAAATTTGAAAAAAAAAAATTATAAAGATCAAAATAAAGAACGAGAAGAAAGGGCCTAAGGACAGATGTTTCAAGGCTTAATTACAACAGCAATCCAGACGAGATAATTATTTTCGCCGACAAGCATCATCAATTTTTCGTTCATAATGCCAATTAACAATTGGTTCATGCCTTAGCGTGAACTATCGAGTTATGGAGCCCGCGGGAAGTTTGGAGAGCACGAAAGAAGCGTAACAGTTGCCCGAGGCGATAGCTGAGGGCAACTCTAGCTTCTTGAGTGCTCTCCAAACTCCCCACGTGCTCCATAACTCGATAGTGCACAGCTGAAAGCATGAACCAATTGTTTTAGAACATAGCCGGTGGAATTGTGCATCAAATCCGACGCGAAAAACGTACAACAGTATCAAGCGAAGCGAATCGTGACGGCGCTGATGCCGAGTCTCCTTTTCCGTTGTTTTTCCCTTTTTCTGCCTCATTTACGAACTCTAGCCCATGGGAAAAGGTCGGAAAATTGTCTTCGTTTTGGGACTAGTGGGCCGAGTTTCTGTTTGTACCCATTATTGTCGCGAAATGTATTATTTTTCCCCGCACTAGCAATGGCCGCTCGCGCGAAAAGAAAATTTCTGGCGAAGTCGGATTTGCTGACGCTATCAGCGTGCATTATCGGGATTTTGAGCACGCTTACGTATATTGAATTTGATTGCGCGGCTCTGCTAGCTATGTTCTAAATAAAAGGAAAAAACAACAGGTTACCTGTTGTTTTTTTAAGGCTCTACTTGGGTTAAGTTATTCCAAGTAGAGCCTTAAAAAGTCGTCATCCACTTCCGGTCGATGTTCATGATGCAACGGAAGTGAAATTAATCCATATCATTCTATTGTGTACTGCTGGCTTTTATGATGGAGTTAAGGCAGTTTACGAAGGGACCGGTCACTATTCATCAATTGGGGGGGGGGGGGATCTTAGTCTTCTGGTCGTGTCAGTAAAATTCCTCATCCCACCCTAAGGCTTTATAACATCCTAATGATCACCCTCATTATCAGCCAATTTTTTTATATTCCCCCCTTTTGACTATGACTGCACCCCCCTTCTGTTTTCCAGAAAACCTTGTGATCTTCTCCCGGAATGAAAATCCTCCAAATCCCCCCTCCCCCCTGAAGTGATAAATAATGACTGGTCTCTTAGAACCGTGTCTATTTTTTTATGACATGCCCGAGGCTATACTTCTCTTATCTCCGTTCTCAGCTAATGCAACTGAAAGACAAGGAACTGTAATGACATGCAGCCTTCAATTATCTACTCACCACGTCTCGACATGCGAAAAAAAAAGCGTCGGAGACGTTTTTTTAATTGCCTATGCGTGCGCTGTAATACAGACAATTTTCACTTTCAAGTCGGTAATAATGATTTCAAAGGATTTTTTTGCAATGTTAGTGAAAGATAGGAACAAAGATAAATCAATAAAAACCCCGAAACGATTAACTAGTATCACGATGAAAAGTTCCTTCAGCGCAGACGAACAAATTCATGGGAATTTGTGTGTTTGGAGGTTATTTGAGGACAAAATTGACTACTGTTTTACATTAGAATTATGGCACCGAACTGATTAATTTTACATTTGGTGTGTTTTTATCTGCATTCAGTCTAATAACAAAGGGTGCCCGTAGTCTAAACATATTCAAACGAATGGATTAAGCTGCTGTTGAAAATTATCGATATTACTAACAATTTCTGTATCTGATGTAGAGACACGGTAAATGGCGTATACCCTTTTATGGAACTTAAGTCAATGTGTGCTATGTTAATGAAAGTCGCCAATTTAATGACACGAGATAACTTTTAAAACTAGGATTATATTTTCGAATCGTTGAAAATTAAAATTGCACGATTTTTAAGTACGTTCACAAATATAACATTAAAGGCTCAGAAAAAGCACTGAAATATTTACGAATCGATCCAGATGAAATTGATGTCAGTGTCAGTAAATTGAAATTTTAAGTCTCTCGTCCTCTCAAAACATTCGAAAGTGCCGAAAATGTCCAAAATGGCGACGAGTCGGTGTACCGAAAAAAAAAAATCTCATTTAATTTACAGAGAAAAGACTCGAGGATTGTTGCGGCCCCCTTGTGTACAAAACAACTGGCGACAAATCAGCCCTAGGAATTGTTAACAAATTCACACAGGAGATCCCTCGAAAACTGCTTGAATATTCACTATTCAAAGAACATGGAAATTGGCGTCATGTCACTGTATGAAAATATTTTGATTCAACTCACAAATTGAACACTCGTACAGGACGAAACATTTAAAAATGGTCGCCAGCTCTAATTGGACGTTTGCGCAGGGAAACAAACTGCATTAACTCGCTCAAAGAACTCTGCGAAACAAAAGAACCTGCTGAACTATGCACGAAGCCCACCTGTTCATTATAAACAGGAAAACAAACAAAAATGATCTCTATTTCTAAACAGTACCTTTGTCGATCTGCGATGAAAAACAATTTCATAGTCCGCCAGGTATCTGGAATCGTTGTTGATTTCTTCGACTGCCATCAAGGCAGCGCCGAGGGAGCCAGCTCCATCGCGAGAATCTTCATCGAACAAACCTGCGATGTGCAATTCATGTTTCATTTTTAAGCCGATCGTCGGTTTAGCGACACTTCGAGTTTCGTTGAATGTCACTATTGCTCCGATTGAGTCAATATCGTTCAGGCCGTACAAGAAACGGCGATTCCAAATAAAGAAGAGTAAACAAAACGTCCATATCTTCAACCCACGAGTCATGTTAACAGTCAGCTGACAGTGACATTCATCTCCTACAAAATGAAAAATAAAATGTTCCACTTACTGGTTATCGTTCATTTTGGGTTGTATTGGCGGTCAGAATATTGATTGCCTCTGGGGGATCTGTTCTTTTACCTTTCAAGGTGGAGGGATTTGGTTAATTCAACTGAACGTTTATATACTCAGTACCTTCCAGTGCTTTCCATAAATCGAGGGTTGTCAACGACCCTGTCGAATACGAAAACTCATTACTGAACCATGGTTTCGATGACTCTATTCAATTCTGGATAAATCTATGAGATTAACAATTTACAATCCAATTCTTTTAACTAGAGAGAAATCCCCTCGTCAGCTTCGATTGTAGATCCCGCAGGATTACTAAATTTCCACATCAAAACATAAAAGTATCCTCGTTTGCACCTTTTCTTGATAAACACTTTGGTGTTGAGGTGTTTCTTCGGGGGTGAAGGACTAAGTATGAGAAAGTGAAAATACATGTCTAGCTGGTAACGCGTTAAGTACACAGAAAGGCGGGGGGGTAGCTACTTGTGGATAGAAGGCGGGAGAGAGGGAAGCTACTTGTGGTTCTCACACCTGTTAGTACATCCTTTCCTCTGCGAGATTGAGTCAAATGTTCTTCATTTAAGCGCTGTTTGACATGAACACAAGACGTGTTCCTGAGGAGGCTCTTTTTATAGTGAAATTGGAAAACTTATCTCACCCACCCACCCTGCCAATGGTGAAGTCTGCTTGACATTTTTGAAAACGATAAGTTCACGTATCAGTTACAGCTTTCTTAAGCTGTACTGAATAATATCATGACATTTTTATTCTTGAAACTCATTTTGCAGTATTAACCGTGTTTTTCAGTCAGTCATCCCCAGTGTAGTTTAATAAAGCACAAGATATTGCTGTATAATTTCCTTTTTTTGAATTCAATATTGGATGTTCTATAATATGCAGTTTTCGCTGAATTCAGTAAAAAAACAAACGGTTAGCGACAGCTAGAGAAGGTGATAGACTGAGAACAAATTGAACCTCACACAATCAAAAAATTCTGCGCTGCAAATTGAATCAGTTAAAAACAATGCCCAAAAACTTCAATTTTATTTCAATAACAGACCATCACATGTCAAAATCATTTCAACGATATCGGAACACTCTTGATCCAATTTGAATGTCATATAAATACGTCAGCTTTCAGTGTTTAATTTGCGAAAAAAGAAATAGTATATTGAATGAAATAAAAGACAGTCCGTGTTTTGTTTACAAGCTTAGATATCCTCTCATCTTGTTTGACCAGAGTCGATACTTTTACGCAATATCATATGTGGCAATAAACAACAAAACATCATTTTTCTATTTGGTGTTAGTTTTAACACGAGCTTTGGTGAAAATTTCAATATTTTGTACATGGAAATAAATTAAACATATTGAAAAGTAACAGCTTGTGTTCTTTTCTTTATTTTTCTCTTTTTGTAATATTTTATCTTTTAATTTTTCATCGACTTCGAGGCATAACTCGGAAGGAATTTAAAATTGAGCGCATTAAGCCACAACTGAATTATTTTCCCTTACCGATACAGTATACAGTGGAACCTCGATTTAACGAAGTCCTCGGTCACGAACGATACTTCACTTTCAGCCCGACCAAAGTTACAGTAAAATGTACGCCACAGAACCTCGGTACAACGAACCAATTTCCCCAGTCCCTTGGCACTTCTTTAGATCATGGTTCCACAGTAGTAACAAATATTTTAGTGATTCGTTTCAATATGCGAATTTTACATTTATTTTTTTGATAGGCTCGTTTACTGCAGGTTTTATTGAAAAAGAGACGCACTGTCTAAAAAGGTTAATAAATTTATTTGAAGTAATTGTCGTATGCCGTTTGACTCAAAACAATTTGAAACAAAAGCGTATGAAACCTCACCTATCCAAGGGAAACCACAGCTTGAAATGAATGAATTTACAAACCCAAAGAGTTTTGAAAAAAACCAGTTTTATTGTTTTCCCTTAATCCCAAAGGCATTTGAGAAAATCGCAATCGCCGCCATGTGAATTTTTATATACCGTAATCATTCTTTCTGTACCATTTTCCCGAATCAGTCTTAGAGTTCAGCTTTGTGAAGCTTAGTCGCATTTTTTCCGGGCTTGTGAGTCTAAAGGCAGAGATCGATAATTCGGGTTAAGCGTCTATGGGAGACTTACTTATGCGCCAAGGTAATCCATGTCAGATATACAATAAATCTTCCGCAGTCTCAAAGCTCGATCAGTACTAATTGTGGCCGTTTTGTCTCTGGAAATCAATTGCATCATGTTTGCACGTCTGCTTTACTATGCAGCAGTGCTGAAGATATTTTGCATACGTACATTGTTGCTCGTTACAACGTTTGCGGCGATTTGAAATGGATTAGGTGCATTAGTTTTATGCATGTTCATGAAGATGTCACTTTGAACGTTGGACGGGTTAATCGTTACTGACAGCTTGAATGGCACAGAAAGTATTGAAAATTGCAAACAGCGTTCCGGGACCTGCACGCGAGTGAGTTTACTCTTGGGAAATATAATTGTTCTAAAAGAAGATAGAGCAAGAATTGACGTAGGTAATTCATGCAGTCAACCGAATCTTTTGTGGTCAAATTGTTTTTGTAGCGTCAGTTATCTACTTTGTAATCTTAATTGGCGGAGTTTTCATTTGTGCAGAAGCCAACGGGGACCTGTGAATATCACGGTGCGAACGTATTGTTTTTGCAAATTGCACAAAGTAGCAAAGACACGCTCTTAGAACACCAGATTCAAACACCCATCAAAAGTTTTAATACTTATGATTTCGGTGAAACTGGAGGCGAAGAAGTTACAGGCTTCATAGGGTACCTTAAATTCGTGTGCACACACAGAAAGAATTGTTTGAAAATAACAATTTGATTGATATTGCAAATTAAACCTGCGATAGTCCTTGACCTTAATTGCATCAGCGAACACACCTCTTTAAAACGTTACACCACACATTTCGGCACGTTATGTGGAAAACAGTTAATGCTGCTAACCGCCGAAAAAAAAAATGTGGAATCCCTGACTGATCAACTGATCTTCAGCTGACCTTTGAAATCAAATTTCATCGACGGTAAGTCTGTAAGTGACAATGAGCGAAATGTTTTCCTTTCGCCGTAAATGAGCCATAACAATATTATGTCCGTTTTAACTGCTCAGTGTACAAAAATAATCATGAGTTTCGATCGTAAATATCTAGCCAGACAAGGGTTTATAACTCTATTTTGTGGTCCGAATCATACTGATCGGAATCTAACCACAAATGACCCAAGCAGACCGGCGATGCAGCATCATCGGATTCCTAATTATTTATGTACCACTTTAATGTTTTTGTCTCAAATGCAATTACTAGCGTGTTCTGTACCGCCGTCTGTTGGCGTGCTTTTGGAAAGTATTATAAGAAAACAACTAGGATAAGTTATCGTCAGGTTGCACCCTGCTGAGAAGCTAGAACGCACTAGGTTTTGTGTCTTCGATCTTTTATGCTAATAGCCACGCGTTTACCACAACTACGAGATCATATATATGTTGGATTGCTGAAATATTTTCGATAATTTCGTGTAACAATATAAAATCATACCTGATTTTAAGAAGCGTTCTGGATAATTTTCACTTGTGGTCTTCGTTTTGTTTCCCTTATGGGCGCTCCCGCGTTGTATACGGAAAATATCTCATGCCTGATACAAACTTATTTCCCGGTTGGTTCGTGATTCCCGAGCGAAGTGTTGACAGCCAAGTTCACATACAGTACAGAGGGAAAATTGTAAATATTCTTTGCCAAAGGAGATTAAACACGATTTTTTAACGAGCAATATCTTGTTGATAATATTAATATCGACGCACCGTGTCAGTAAAATTGGCGAAGGAAAATGGAATACGCGATGACAGGATCCAACAGAGGCAGTTGTGATTGAAACAACATCCGGGCAATTGAAAGTTATCCGGGAACTTTTGAGTGACAATTTGCAAAAAAAGTTTGACAATACACAGCAAGTGAGGTAGGTTTACATTTATTTTGAGCCTTAACATGTATGGGCCCCTGTGGTGAAACCTGATCGTCTTGCTCTCTCTCGAGAGCAAGCAGAAAGCGTGAAACCTGTTTGAAAAGAACCAGAAGTTTTAATTAATGATGTATTGGATAATGAAAACAATCCAGTGTCATAATTAGTTCGCCTCCTTGGTATGGATTATTCATGTTTCAATTGAAGAGCATTTTGAATAATTCATTGTCACTTAAAAAGGGATAAAAAAAAATTTAATCAACGCTTAGAGGAAACAAAATATCTCGTCATTTGGCAAAAACTGCATTTTGATAAAACGTAACTGGTCATTGAAATTATTTTGATGCACCGTAAATTGAATATAAGGCGAATATTTTCCATGTAAGTAAAATAAAATATCCAACAAAGATCCAAATAAGGAACAGATTGAAACATCTGCGTTCTGTTGGATTTCCTAGAGCTTTATATTATCATTAGGATGAGCATGCGTATATCATACATTGGACTGGAAGAAGAAAAAAGAGAGCTGCTGTATTTTTTAGATTTCACTAATGAACAGCCCTGAGGCAAATTCATACTCAATAAAACACTATTGCTGCATGTTTTCCAGACGGTAGAAGTAAGCATTCGATCAGAGAATTGGCAACAAAATGGTGAAAGTATTCTTTATTAAAATTGATAGCATCAGCAATAACTAGCCTCCGTCGAGGGAAATATCTTGCGCACGAACAAGATGAAACCTTCCATTTGACAGACAAAAAATAGACTGGAGTTTAAGCGCGGAAAGGCTGCGACTGTTTGGGTTTTTATTCACGTTTGCTTTTAGTTTGGAAAATCCAGTCCAGAACACAGACTTGATTAAGTTTTTTTTATTTTCATGGCAATGAGGACTCAGTACTCTTGAAGATTAGGGGGGGGAAGCCCTCGGGGGAGATGGAGAGGGAGGAGGGGAGGACACCGGGGGGAGGGAAAAATAAATGTTAAACAGCAGTCATCAAAATGCCCATCTCATATTAAATCTTACATTCTTGCCTGCCCGCGAACTTCTAAACCAGTGACGTAAATTCTCAATCAGGAGGGTCTCGTTCATAACACACCTCTTTCATAAAAGAGTTCAAGTGGTTTATTTTTCGAAACATAATTCTAGTATGACGTCAGTCATTTGTGGCAAGGCGGTGATACAACAGTGAAAAAATATGTTCGCTTGGTAACCAAGGACTTAAGAGATTAAGTTGCCTCTCTTTAACTCGCTGGGAGGCAGGAAAAGCAACGCGTTTAAGAGGAAACACAGACTTACACCCATATGGTGTATGCAAATGACACACATGTTTTTTCTCTTTGCTTGCCTTATATATTTTTCGCACGCAAAAGGGAGTATGAGAAGCGATTGTCTCTCGTGTGAATTTCACCTTTCACCCAGGTTGGCATAACAACAGAGTAAGTTATCAATCAATTGCACCCTCTTTTATTACCGCGTTGATCGATCTTCTTATAAGTATGTAAATATCAAACACAGTTGGAGTAGACAAAACGACACTTTGTTTTACTGATTGGGCAACTGATTCGACATTCCCGTTTGGAAAACATCCAAGTAAACGATCGAAGTTTAGCCAAAGAACGTATACGCTCAGATAACCGTGAGAATGAATGCAACCGTTAAATGTTTTGAACGAATTGATTAACGAGGCCTCGACCTCCAATATTTTTAAACAAATGTTTTTTCCCTAATTATCCTCTGTTTGTTTTTCGTACGTAATGAAAGAAAACAGCAAACTGTGCAGTGAACTTTATTTTTAACACACTCTGTTATTGGCCTTGGGTGTAAAGCAGATTCAAGTGGTTTATATTCATGCCGTTGAAAGATTAATTAATTAAACAGTAGACAACACTTTTTATCGCTTAACAGCGTTCATAATGATCTACTAGAGATGTTAGGAGAGCACGAGAAAAGTTTGTAAATCACGCGAGCCAGAAATACAAACTTAATGAGTGTTTTTCTAACATCCTAAGTAGGTTATTACGCCGGTGTAATAAAGTGCGGTCTATTGCTTTGATACAATGACTGGTTTTTCAAGTGCAATAAAAAATGTGTTTTCTTACAATCAGGGCGCTCGTAGTTTGTCCGTCACTTTATATTACAGAATAACTTCAATGTACTTTTACTGTTGACTTCTATTTCCCGATTTCCTCAAGGCCCGTTTAACTATAGCACTTACAACACAGTCTGAGCTTTGAAGCTTGAAAGGGAGCCAACGAGCGAACGAGTATAATCAAGCAAAAAAATGTCGACACTTTGCAAGAAGTTGTCCCTTTCCAATTCGATAAGGAAAGTGTGCAGTTTGAGAGGTTCATTTATAATATAAACAGGGTTGTATAGAGTGTTGATTGTTAGGAATTTTGTAAGATAAGCGCGGTTTATCTTTAACAAAATAAGCGTATTATCTTGGTTATTTAAGTTTTATTGAAAGAAAAGTTACAGAATTGATCACGGCTTGTAAATGTTTTCTCGTTATGAGCTTGCATATTGTACATAAAAAAAATTCAAATTTCTAATGGCATTGCTGATTATACATATACCTTTCTTTATCTGAGCCCCCAACACTGATCCTAGAAGACTTCGAATTGCCCGTTAAACCTAGCAATCCTTTTACGGTTTGTGACTGTTATAGCTTAGTTCATAATCTCATAGTCCCCTGCATCATCGGGAAGATTCCTTTACGCTGTAAGGCATTGTACTATGTCTTGGCATTTCGCTGTATCTCCTTCCTTCATAGTATAACCGTGGACGTACTTTAATGTACTCAAGTGGAGGTCTGTACAAGGATTGACTTCTATGGGTTTTTTTCTCTTCGTTCTCGCTCTGTTTTCGCTTCGCATTTGGACTATCTGTAACTTTTCCCCCAGTGCTCCCGTCACTAACTGAAGATATTCGCGACTGCACGTGCGAATAATCGTTTTTGAATTGAGGAATCCTCTTGATACTTTTCCTAGGCGCGTGAGCGCGTGTAACTGAACCAGTGTCAACTTTGGATACAGCATCCCATTTCAATTTGCCGTATCCTAACTTTTTGCGTCTTCCCCTTTTCTTACTCTTCCTGGCACCATTGCGGCCACCTGCTACTCTACCAGTAGTAGCAGCACCTTCATTATCCTCGTCTACATCGTCGTCGTCTTCTTCTTCGTCCTCATATTCATCACCATCTTCATCGTCGTCTTCTTCTTCGTCAATCATTTCAATGGTTCTTCGACTCTCGTCTTCCTTAACTTTTGCGTTTTCGGGTTCGTTTTTCTCTGCAGCAGAGCTTGCATCCTTTGCTAATTCACCTTTTGGCATTGCGTTTCCAGAACTTTGAGCTTGGTTGTTGTTTTTCCCAATACCATTGTCATGGTCATTTACGTTTTTGTCATCTCCTTTTCTATTCCTTTCTTCTTTGTCTGTGCTCTTTAATTCTTTTGTTGTATCGTTTGCCGTGTTTTCAGGAGCAGATTCGTCATTTTGAGGAACAGATATGGACACGTTTGTTAGGGATGCTTTCAAATCATCATCAGGGCCATTTTCATCAATGGGGGAAACGTTAGCTCGACGAACTGTTGGCCTGTTACCACTTATCGCGGCCGAGTCAGCAGAGCCCTTTGAGTGGTGGTTGTTGGTGTTTTTCTCCGGCACTGTCGGTTCGGAATGATCATCAAATAGCCAGGCTCCACCAGCGCCGACAGAGTTCTTTTTATTATTCCTATCCTGCGTCTGTGTCTCAGGTTTATCTGAAGGTTTCTCAGATGTGGAGTCTACTCCATTGGTAGACACATTATCGTCAATGCCATTGCGGTTCGAGCTGGGAGCCGGAGATGCTGAAGAGGTAGTGAGAGACTCCGCGGACTTAACCGCTGAGGTAGACACTGTGTTCTTAGTCCCGTGCGGACTGGGAGACCCTGATGACTTGGCAGCGGTGGGGCTTTTTGACGCCAATGATTTCTCAGGAGAGGGACTGGAGGCTACCGAAGACTTAATCACTGTGGGGGAACTGGGGGGCATCGAAGGTTTCACAATGGAGGGGCCCGGGGTTACCAAAGGCTTTATAGTTGAGGAACTGGAGGACCCTGCTGGCGGAACTTTTGAAGGACTCGTGGATCGCGAAGACTCGACAGGAAAAGTAAATATAGTTTTGTCTTCATGAATAGGCGTCGCTGGTGTCTCAACCAAAAGAATCCGTTGCGTTCTTTGGAAATTTTCCCCTGATTTCTGGGTGATAAGTGAGAAAAAGATAATTGCTTACATGTTTTTAATTGCTCCATTACCGAATTCCAAAAGATACTTGGAGATGGTAATAATAATAATAATAATAATAATAATAATAATAATGATAATAATAGTAATAATAATAACGGTTTATTCACAGTATATCCACATAAAAAGGTGTGGCTCTTCATCTGTGAAGGCCTACGATACTAACATTTAATATTAAAACTAATTAATAATGACTAACTAAATTGTAATTAAAAACTATACATGAAAGTAAATATGCAGAATATATTGGTTGGTGGTGGTGGTTGTTTCTATATCTTTACACGGAAGACAAAGCGCGCGCCTTCAAGAAAGCCTTGCAGAGCCTGCAGTATTCTTTAAAATCTGTGCAATTCCTTATATTTACTGGCAATTCGTTGAAAATCACGGCTGCTGAATGCTGAAAGGTGCCTTGTACAAATGGAACATAAAGCCTTGGAGCAACACTGGAACGAAGATGCCTGACGGGTTTAACGACTTCCAAATTTAAATGGGAGGGCCAGTTATCAGAATACAGTGCTTTAAAAATAGTCTTTACTAGCGAGTAGTCCCTTAGCTTCAGGATAGGTAGCCAGCCAAGATCCAAAATGGTAGATATACTGTTTACATATTTACAAGTGATGAAACTAGCCATAGCGAGGTGGAGCCTTTGTAGTATAGCTGAGAGGAACTTTGGTCGTGGATAAAAAAAAATGTCGCAGTAGCTTATTTTAAACAGAATTAATGTTTCTACCAAATGTTTTCGTAGTTTAAAATTAGTAAAGTTCCTGGAAACTGTCTGATCTAAATTCAGTCGGGAGACGGGGATTTATGGATGGCAAATTATGCTAATCCTATGCTCAAACTTTGTATCATTAGGAAACAGGCAGCATCGCAAACAAAAGACATTTTTTTCGGAATTCATAAAGATTTTGTGGCAGGGATGAATCAAGGCAGCGAGATGGCAAGCTATATGCGTATGAATGAATAGACAGCGCCTCTTTCTCTATCCAGGTGCAACAGGTATCTTATCTTACCTTTTCTGGTGTAGATTTTGTTTGAAGAGATTTCCCTTTAGATCCTTGCTTTCTTAGTGCTTCAAGCTCTTTCTTTAATGTGTTTATTTCATCATCTTTCTGTGGAGCAGTCGAAGAAGAAGAATCACCTGTTAAGCGTTTTCATTCCAAAACTCCTTATCACAATTCGTGTTGATAAGCGGATGAAAAATAAAATTTTGTTACAGAGCTGAGTTTGTCTACCTTTCTTGCGGCTTATTTTGTTAAAGTAATTTTATTTGACCTTGAATTCCGCTTCGCCCTCAGGTTTGAACATGCAAACGTACATGTGCGTTCATTCGAAATTCTTATATGCTGCTTGTGATAATTCCATCAGTTTTAACTAGCCACTGTGATTACGTTTCTGTTTGTGTTACGAAACGCGTACGTTCAAAAGCGCTTGAATTCACAAAGCGCAATTTTCGCCACTGTGGTCGAAATAAACAAACACACGAGTCAAAAATAACACTTATTTTCATAGCTGTGTTAACCTTATCACTCAAGAACTTGAAAGGCACCCAAGTTGTACGATTTCATTGAAAATAAAACGATTTGCCTCGATCTCGTTATAACAAAAGTCACTTTAAGTATGTTCGTAAGGCTCCAAAGATGGTTGTTTCTCTTACCTTTGCAATTGATGTCTTGAGTTTGCGTATTTCTTCATTGGACTGGGAAGAAAATGACATTCGTGAGCCCCTCCTTTCTTGCGGGGTGTTTGGAGCCAGGGAAGATTTTAGTCCGGTATTCACCTGGAAGAGATATCGATAGCTTTAACATGAACCTATCGCGAGAAAAACTTTCGCTGGTTAGACTATCTCAATTAAGTGAAATCGACTTGCGCCACCAGTGGACCAGGAGCTTGCATCCAAAATTTGTCCTCGAATTCGCGCAGGGTTTTAGATTATAACTGATTATGATTTAATCAAGTTGCATATCTACCTTGCTTCTCACATGAGAGTAATCGGCTCCTTCGTTAAAGATTCGGATTTTATTTGCCGCGCGCCTGAAGCGCTTTCTTCCGTCAGTCCTCGGTAAACTCTCTGCATCACTTCCGCTTGCGTCAAGTGTGCTGTCGTAAGAGTCATCACCATGATCCAGGAAGTTACTACCGTCATCTTTTGTCTGGCTAGCGATACTCTTAACTGTGCGCTTCTGTTGCAAATTACTTAGAATAGTGTCTCTCTGAAAAAATAATAATGACAGATGTGAATGGATGCAAAGTTTTGGTACTTTTACTGATTTTGAGGTGGAAGAAGTCAAGTATGGGTATGAAAACTGCGCGCGCATAGGCGTCCTTGCCAAAAAGAGACAGACGGCCAAGGGAGCGGAAAGAGTTGAGATTTCCGGAAATAGATTTACACGCTTTACAAATGACTACATTTGTGTTAAATAGAAAGACAGCAAAAGGACAATAATAACTCAAGATGAAACAGGGATGGAAGAGATTAAAACGGTTTGCTAATGACGAGCTTGAAAAATTTAAGTTGAATTCCCCACGATTTTTAAAATGATACGGTTTAACAATTGATTTTTGCGGGCACGTTCTACTCTATTTCGTGTACTTACCTCGCGAAGCTCATTTTTGAGATAGACTATCTCTGCGTCTTTATCTTGAAGTTGACCTCCGATGTAAAAGTCCTTTTCACTTTCTTTCCTATCCCCAGAGGAGAGATGTACATGGGACCCACAGAAAAACGACCGGAGGCAGGTAAATAAGTTGCAGCACGGGAAACAAGACCAAAATAAGATGCAACAGGCGGATGAACATGCACAACATGAACAGAACTTTGCACAGGCTGCACCGCAGGCGCAAGTGGTGTCATACTCTGTCGATTGTCCAGCTACTGTAGTTTTACCTCCCGTTCTTATGCAGCATAAACGAACGATCTGGGCGCAAAGCAAGGACATGAATGAAGTTAGCAACCAATGAATGGGACAACACTGGTAGTGTGATTCAGGAAATTTATAAAACTAGCTTTTGAAAAACTACGGGATATGATTGAAACAAAGGTGCTGTTTGATTGTTCAAGTTTTTAATGGCGGACGATATCACACATTTTGCTCCTCGCCGTACCGATTATTTGGTGAGAAAATTCTCAAGGGGGAATAAACCTACAGTTATTATTGAGATAGGTTGTAAACATCCTCTCATTCCCAGCCCCCCAACGGTAGAAATCTAGTGATGTCTTGTTGCACATTGCATGAACTGAAAAATGACCAACCTTGTTTGTGAATAGCAGCGCAAGGATTAGAGTCGTGGCAAAGATTACAAGGCCACTAAGTACACCGTAATACACGCTTGGGTACAAAGTGGTTGTAAAAGCCACAATCACACCAACTATGCAGAACGCCACTACCACAAACATGCATGATACGCAGTGCTGGGTGTCATTTAGCGCAGGAATGTAAAGTTTCCTTGTCTGCCAGGCCAGCAATCCTCCAACTATCACAAGTAGCGCCTTGAATGTTAGAATCACGACCAGCCAAAGGGTCAAATCTTCGCAGTTACATTGCTCTACAACCTCAATCTGGGCACGAAAGGTGTCAGCGGTGATAGGCTGAAAAGCACGAAAGTTACAAGCACGGAAGTTTATTTTCTAGAATGGTAATGCTGCAATGGAAAACCGTTTAGGAGGGTTCATTACAGATTAGCAAAGCATACAACATGGCATTCTCGTTGATAATTTCTCTGGTAAGAAGCTGTGTGCAGGATTTAGGGAGAAAATTCCCCCTTCGGAGGCAAGTATCAAGAATCGGAAGGGAAGGTACCTGGTTAATGAGATAAAATATTCGAAGAAAGTTTTTCACGAAAGCGTCAATTTGAATGACATTCTCAGAGATAATTGTCGAACATAGTTGTTCGATATCTTTATAGAGTTGAAAGGTCAAATCGTGCGTAGAAAGAAGAGTGCTTTGTGCTATTACATACCTGAAAACACTCGTACTCCGGCTGAGAACGGACTTGTTTGAGGATGCGGTATAAGGGATCCTTGGTCTCCCAGCATCCTAAGATTGTGATATCAATGACTAAGAGAAGAACGAGAATTCCCAACATCCAAAACATCATAACTTTCTGTAAATAAAAGAAAAATGAGAGCTTTTAAGTAAAATGCACAAGGCTGCTCCGTGCTCGAAGAGCAAATTTACAGATCAGGGCGACAGGCAGTCTGTCACATTGTTAGAGGAAATGACGAAGGAAAGGTCACGCCTTCACAGAGGAGAGGGTGTACTCCCTAATGAAATTTCCGAAAAGAAAATCGCAATAAGACTGTACCTGTTTTAGTTACCTCTAAATGCGCCCAAGCGCGGGAAATGCGCCCAAGAGCGGGAAATGCGCCCAAGCGCGGGAAATGCGCCCAAGCGCGGGAAATGCGCCCAAGCGCGGGAAATGCGCCCAAGCGCGGGAAATGCGCAAGTCATGATTGATGTTAATTTTTACTCCGACTCTGTCAAGGTTGTTGAGAGATTTTTTTCTAATCTCATCGCTGAGAGTTGTAACGGAATGCCAATAAAATCTTAAATAAGTATTTCACTTCTGCAAAATGAAAAATATTCAAGAGAAAATCATTACCCTACTCCTAACGAATCTTTCTTTAACCACTCCATAAGCCATCCACAATTTAGCAGCCAGGCCTCCCACAGATAGTGTGAAACCAATGGTGAATGTCCAGGATCGAGCCTATAATAAAACACCAAGAAGATGGAAACAAAATAACCGTAAAGTTCTCTGAGTGTAAAATATGCTGAAAAGTATCATATCTATATGAAACACCAAGGTGCACAATCGCCAATATTTAAAATGGAACTTCGTCACAGACTAAGAACTCTGGTTAATTTGGCTGAGGTTTGTCTTCCACCTTCTCCGTATTCAACTTTTTTTCTCGTCTTATTGTTATCTTGTCTTCTTTTTTCAATGTGCTGACCAAGTGTTTTGTAATGGCAATTAAGTTTTTAGCGAGAGGAAACCACGCTTTGCGTTTTCTCTGATTAATTGGTTAGGTACTAGAAATGAGAAATTACGTGGGCCGTATTTGCATCCTTTAACATTTTTTTGTAACTTTGAAGGTCTGCCCGTTCTTATAAACTCACCCTACATAGGCGTGTGACGATATCCGGGGATACGCGCACGTAGTCAAAGCCATAAAGAATTACGGTGACGTAATTCAGAAGACATCCCAGAATGATGAGAAGGCTAATTACAGGACCAGAATTTTGTACAAGTCTGAAAAGTAACACATTGTTCCAACCCTCATGAGTTAGGCATGCGCAGTTGGGAGAAGTTTGACAGTTGACAAGGTAAGCGAACAATCGAAATGTCCCTTGAACATTGTAAGAGGAAATTTGATTGGTTTACTGTTAATATTTGATCGATATGAAATCGAATGACATTCCCAATGTGTTAAAGAGGAGAATGGAGCTGTATTTGGGCTAAATTTAGACCTTCTGCTGGAAACAAGAAATGAATTGAACATATACCTTTCCCTTCCTTTAACTTGGGTGACGGGTGATGTAGCTACTTTTCAATTGTTTTCAAGCTAAATTTGTGTCTTCTTAATTAAGTATTTTCCATTTCAGAAACTATACTTATCAAAACAAGTCAGACAACAAACGCTTTACTATAAAAAAAATTAATGTGATTTTGATGAGAATAAGTTATGAGTCTTCGGTAAAATGTTTGCCCTGCAACGAAGCTTAACTTAAAGAGGCCCGAAATCACATGTTCGGGTGTTTAAGTATCTGCCATTGTAAGTCCCGGATGTAGCCCATCCGGGGTAATGATAAAACGCGGCGCAGGCCGCATAAATCAATTTATTCCCTTTGGTAATCAATGTCATTTTTATACCCTCGCCATAGTCTAATCCTTTAACTTCCAGGATCTGATTGTCAATTCTCCCCTCTGGCTGCTACACATGCCCTTGTCAATTAGCTTCCAGAATTTGGTATCAGATCAGGATTACAACTTCTACTTGATAAGTTTGAGTATTCTCATCTCCTGTTTGCTGGGTCATGTATAGATATTATAGGGATAAGTTTCATGTTAATCACTCCTGTTCTGGGAGTTAAAGGGTTCCAAGAATGGCGTCTATCAGTCTATCGAAATTAATGTTTACGCTCTTCAGTAGTATACGTACTTCTTCTTGAAGTTCAGCACCAGTGTTAGGAGACAGAGCAGGCCATAAACGATTCCAAGCGACGCGAATGCAATTAGAACAAAAAATAACGTCTCGTCAATTGTACGGTAGATGTACGTCTCTGTCGTCTTGGTATAAGGAGTCCCAGCTGAAATAAATTTTTTGAACAAGCAATTGAATCGAAACATTAATTCGGCCTGTCGCTTAATAGATTAAACGCAAACTTTTGAAAAGCTGTAAGATTAGGTGGATTAGGGAAGAGGCGTGAAAGGCTAAGAATTGGAGCTTAAACTACTTAAGTGCCCCCTTCCTTGATCAGTCGAAATCGGCTAAGTATATATCAAGGCTCTCTGACAGATTTTTTTCGATTCTCATCTATACGGTATGAGATAATGTTAATACTTGGACCTTGATGGGCTTAAGTGGGGGAGGGCTCCTAGTACATAGCTTTGTTGATTGTCCTCTCCCAGTTGAATCGAATAGGAGTCAGGATTACTAACAGTTTGCCTGTTTACTTTCAAACTCCTAGAAAGGCACCGCAAGATGTAATGGGTCCGGTTCGAAATGAGCAAACACCCAACAATGGAACAATGGTAAGTACTTTGGGATCTTTTTGCAAAATAAGAGCAAATTGATTATAGACTCACCAAACCAGTGTATTTCTGTTGACGCTGTGAAGATATCGTTTTCTACGTCAAATGTACCACCTTTTACAATCTTCAAAGTACCATCTGAATACCAGATATTGAAACAATTCAGTCAGAATTATCTTATTTTACTTGCCTTGCTAAAGTAGAACAAGCAAGATTGATCCTTATAAATTGGAAGTAAAATCTTCAACCAACGTTTACAAAAATGACAGTTCTAACGAATTGTGATTTTTTGAAGCAATGCACAAAGATACTTATGGCCAAAGATTCCTGTAGGCGAAAGCCGAAACGTCATAAACCTGATGAAAACCTTCCATGCATCCTGATCCGAAGTGAAAGGTTCATATATTTGATGTACACTGATCACGAGGTGTGTTAAAATGTGTCAAGAAATCACATTAGATGTTTTGCTTGATTGACATACAGATCAATGAATATTAGTTATAGTAGAACATTGATCGAGAAGTACCTTTTATTACAATTTGTTTGATGACAATTCCGTTTCGTCTGTTTCCATTGCTGTAATATCTCACACTTGTCTGACAACAAGAAACCATAATGTCGTTTTAATGTTCATATTTATCACTTCAATCAATCAATTAATTAAGTTTATTATCTTTACGTGGGGTCATGGTTACCCAGATTTCCCGAGCCAGAGGCTCATGTATGAAACGCAAGACAGCAACCCACCCCAGGGTAGGACATCCATCACACAGTAATCTCGTGCGTGGGAAATTAACGTCTCCTACCCCTAACCCTGCAGGATACGGGACCTCCATTTATTCGTCCCTAGACGAGAAGACTAGAACATCTAACCATTTCAGTTGATGTTAGAGAAAGGTAGCATATTCTTCTCAATTATTTTAAGACCGTGAGCGTTGGTCCGGCCGGGGCTCGAGCCCTCGACCTCCCGCACAACAGTCCAGTGCTCTATCCATTGAGCTATCCATTGAGCTATCCATTGAGCTGGGAGGCGGAAACTTACTTTACATCTTCCAAGTTTTTGCTCTGTAAGTTACTCGAACAGTGTTTTTGCCTCCCTTTCCACTCTCAAAATGAGTTTGTTAGGTCTGTTCATTTACAAATCCATTTGTTTAGTTGTAATTTCCCCGGTTACATTCATTAAATCTTAAACCATAGGAGCATCAAACCATGTCCCATTTGCTGGTGTTTATATCAGTTGAACAATCCTACATCAGCCAATATTTATTGTACCATTAATACTCCTGTTACTTAACAATCTGGTCTGTGTTCCACGAAAACACTGTTTGCTCTTATGCATGTATACATAGTTGATCAATCGCCCAATGTGGCTTTTCAGGGCCAATGCGAATGAATGAATAAACTATGTGCTAAAAAAAATCCTAATTGACAGGAAGCAGCAACCTCGTTCCCAGGGTCTCTCATCTTCCCACCCCTCTCTCGCTCCAGGGGGCGTAAGATGAGAGACCCTGGGAACGAGGTCGAGAAAGCAGAACAGTTGAATATATAATGAGTAGCAGGGTGGAGGGCTTGAACCTGGAGCCGACATATTACAAGCCTAGTGTCCAGACCATTCGGCCACACAGCCTCTAATCACTTCCTCTATTCCTCTTACCCCTATGTTCGGGCTCTTAAAGTTCAGTTTTACTGCCTCTTTCCGGAACACGTCTGTTACATTGGCATCCCCGTATGTCAGATTCTCCAGAGTTTTTCCTTGTCTTTCTATCTCTGATCTAGAAGAATCCAGCACAAAGGCGATCGACCAGAGCGCGTCATAAACATTTAGGTACGCATTACTTCGATTTGATGTGTCGTTAAAGTTGTCCACTCTTGCACGATAATCTTCGATTATTTGACTCTTGTTCTGTTGAATAAACCGAAAAAAAAAAAGAATTGAAACACTCCTAGGAGATAAAAAGATTTGAGATGACGCACGCATACGTTTCACGACTGTTCTGCTGTGAGTGACTGCTCAGTTGGCAAAATACCCGGTGAGGGCCATCGCCTCGCTTACCGGCTCTTATACAACCGCTTTGCCTGCTTAGCTGTGATGTCTATCAGAGCATGTTCTTGGACTGAAACTAATCCATGAGAATGTATTTTTGATATCTGTATTTGTCAGTGGATGATAACCTAACAGAAGATAACCTCAGACTGTAGAAAGGTAAATGTGCGCGGGAAGGGGAGGAGGGTGGGGGGGAGCTGAAGGGAGTGTGTGGAAGAATCGTATCATATGGTAGCCCAGGGTATGCGGTATGAGGTATGAAGTTAATTTTTTTGTTTTTCAAAAAAACACTCAGTTCTTTCACATACCTTGTTAGCATATTTATAAAAGGTCTTTTGCAATGAGACCACGTTAGTATGATAGAATGAGAAGTGGTTCTGTATCTGACATTTCATTTCCAAGTCCGAGCAAGCGATGTTTTCTCCTTGTTTTGGTATCCACCAGTTGTTATTTTTGCTGTCTGTGAGAATCCAGACATAGTGTGGACCGTACATGTGAGCATGATGAGCCTGTGGATATTGAGAACAGAGGCATATCAGTCAAGCTTTAGGTTTTCTTTCTTTTGAAACCTCGGCCTCCCATTTCGGGGAAAATTTTTTCTTTTAAATGGAGATTCAAACTTTGCACGCACTATTACGATGCGGTGAAACGTTTTTCCAAACGTTATTTTTTTCCCTTAAACCAGTCAATTTTAATTTCTCGTAATAACTGAGTACAGCTCGCATTCTTATATTCCACAAGTCATAAATACAAGTAAGAGATAAAACACTAAAACACTGATGGTTTGAAATTGACGTTGAACCAAGAGCCATAATTGGGACAGAGAGCGAATCTGAGGGCGTGGCCGGGATATGTGAATTTCCAATAATTCCGATTCCGCAGTTACGTGAACATCCGGTGACAAGTGGTCAAGTTGAGATTTCATTGTTTTGTACCCGACTTCTGAATGGTTGGATTTGAAACTGTTAGAATCCATTCCTTCCAGTTTTACTCTCAGATTGGTTTTCATTTATCTCGATATACGCACTGTGATCTTTCATTAATCAATTGTGGCTGATTTAAAGATCGATCACTCTGATTCTGATATAATGAATGACCTAGCCAAGTAATTCGTCAAGTCCTAAGAAAACTTGTCGAAGCTAAGAGAAACTCGTGGTTGACTTTCACTTTTGGCCGTCCGGGGAGAAGGACTTTAAGGGTGGGGGGGGGGGGGGGAAGGTGAGGGGATGGTAATAGCTGAGCGTAGGAACTTGTTAGATATTTACCCAGTACCTTATTTTATACTTACCTCGCAAAACATTTTTCGTGCGGTAGAATCAAGCGAAAACATGCCAAGAATAACATGAATTCCTCTATCCTGAGAAAATGATAAAGATTTGTGGCTATGTATTTCGTGAAGAAATTACTTCATGTACAATTCTTTTTAAATTTGGGAACAACGAAGGTACAGATTAAATGTAAAACAAGAGGACTTTTAACTTTCTAGTGACGAGAAAATTGCAAAATAATCATTTTATCTTATTCCATTTGAACTACACATACAGCAGCAAATAACTGTAGAATATACACTTCAATTTTTTTATTAGAGTTTAGGAAAACATTTCGATTACATTACGTCTCGGATTCGTCATGGTACAGACTGCAAATTTGATTCTTACCTTCATTGTTCTTATAGCCCGTGTTGGATCGTTGGCTTGTAATCTTACTTCTGCGACTACTTTGATGTTGCTTTGCTTCAATTGGCCTGCTAGTTGATTGGAAAGCTGTAAAGAATGCATACAAGTATTTTTTGTCTGGCTTTACCGTTTAAATGAAGATACTACGCGTTTTTGACTCGCGATAGGTGTCGCCCAAAAAACCCAAGAAAATGACTTGGCTAGGTTCGAACCCGTACATTATTTCTATCTAGAGTCCAGCACTCCAGCCATCGGGCCACCTCGTCTCTCTTATTTTAAGTGTGTTTACCTGGAAATATCTCTCGCTGTCTCCATAGATAATCCCGACTTCGTCCCATCCATACTCCTTGATAAATTCCTTTCTTGGTAAATTTAGTGAAGTGGGAGATGTCTTTGTTCGAAAAAAGTTTGGGTACAAGTCTCTTCTGTTTTCAAGCTCCAGATCACTCGTTCCATCAGAAAACTGCGAAGTAAGGAAAAAAGCATCTCCCTGATTAGTTTTATAAGAGGAAATATCGTTGGAAAAATGTAATTCTACATCACAATTATGTCTCTCCCACAAGCTCCAGGTCTGTATTCAGTCTTTTCTCAATACATTTCTAAAGTAATATGTTTTTGTTTTTCATTTGTTGAGTAGGTTTCTTTATTAGACGAATGGACTCAAAATTTACCATCTTTGTTACTCGTACTATTTTTCACACAACCGATGTGCTAATATGCCGGACGCTCGGCAAACATGAACCCAATTTGTGTCCAAGCTCGCCAACGAGGTGACTTTAGCCGGGTTGATAGACCATCCGACCGTAAAATCGGAAGCCACCAAACCGCCACCTGTACACTGCAGGCTCGTCTCTTCGCGGGTATCCAGAATTTTCGTTTGTCCCAAACTCTTGACAAATGTTTCCCCTCTTTCACCATTCCTTAATTCAGTATGCTACGTAAATTAACCGTTTTCTTCAAGTCGCCCGGCACTTGAACTGCAGGCTCGTTTTTCCCAGTACTAAGTAGGTATGCCATGTTAAATAAACGGCAAAGGAGATTTCCTATACAAACCTGGAGGAGGTTGATATCCGCTATTCCAGAATATGCAGCTATAGATTTGGCCAAGGAATCTTCCCCTGGTCCTAGTAACATGATTTTTGTCGGTCCTGTGTTGAGGAATTCATTGAAAGCTTTCTGGCCAATTCCAAAACTTCCCTTTAGTAGAACAAATTGGACCTCATTTTAGACTGTGTTAAAGGGGATCATGTTATTATTGCAAGTATCATTTCATTTTCGAGCATGCATGCAAGAAATACGTGTTTCGCTCTTTACAAATATACAATCGAGCCTTTCTGCTTGAAATACTACATTGTACTTCTTTTTACGATCAAGCAGAACTGCTATCTTCTTGATCCTCTTGCTTCGCTTTACATACTGCAAAGAAAAAAGTTAAATTAGACAATTTTGCGCTTTACCTGTGTTGATTTGACAACCAACTCAAGTTGGTATCCTGGCAACACACTTGGGTTGTTATTGATTTCCTCTATAGCCTGGACTGCCATGGGTAAAGCTCCATAGCCGTCTTTCTCTGTGAGGTCAAAAAACGCTCCAACATACAGTTTTGTGAGCGGTGTTGTGTTGTTGCTGGTGCTGTTTGTTTGGAGACTGGAGTTGGTGGAGTTTGTAGAGTTGAAAGCTTTCGTGAGAGTGGCACGGCAGATGACGATAGTAATTGTGATGAAGATTTGATTCATGGCGTAATCTGTTTAGAGAGACTGAAATAAAAGGAAAGTGAAACACGGTCAGTAACACGACCACACAACTAAACAGACATTTTTCAATGAAGTTCTGAGATAAGCATAAATTTGAAAGGAAGAGATTAAAAACTGGATTAACTTTTGGGACAAACATAAATTTGAATAGGTGGCCAATTTACCATTTCAACTTTGTTGATATATCCAAAATGAATTTGAATAGAAGATAATAAGAAAGTTATTTATCCTGTAAAGACCCTCACAGAGCAATGATCCTTGTAAAATTGCCTGTTGTTATGGTTTGATTCATTTTGAGAAATAGGCGCCGTTGTTCGCTGTTCTCCGGGACCTTTCTATCGGATGATTTAGATCGCGCTCGGCAATTGTCGAGTTCAGAAGAGAATATTCGGTGCACCAACTTTTGCCCATGGGCGTTAATGTAGCTTTTGCACCAACTTTTGCCCATGGGCGTTTTGCTCATTGGGCGTTAATGTAGCTCAAGAGATTTTAAGACAAGAATCGGGTTGGGCGGATGGAGAAGTGTAAAATGTGGATGAGTAAACTTCCAGTGCTTGTTTTTCAGATGCACTGCAGGGCAAATGGAGCGAGTGAATACATGATGTAATATTGCAGTCAGTTTAGTATCAGTGTAAAATCACTAATAATTGTCGGTTTCTCGTTTTACTCTTTCTCCTCTTTTAGTGATTCTCTCTCTTTTTCCTACATACGTGAGACGAGAAATAATAAAAGTGATTTGTCTCTTTGTAGATGGCGTTTGACCCTGAACGATGAGATCTAGTAAATTCATATGTCTTGTAATTGTCATTTATAGCTTTCAGGAAATGACCGAAAACACAATTTTCATTTATTCATGGTGTTATTGATTAGATGAACCGGTTGTTGACGTCCTAAATGTAATATCTTTCCTAAGTGTAATAAAGTCCTTAATGTAATAACATTTTGTCCTAAATGTAATTAAGTCCTAAATGTAATAACATTTGGTCCTAGATGTAAGAAGCCTCCAATGCAATAGTTTAACTGTGCTTGCGTATCCATATTGAGTGTTAAAGCGATAACAATTGCACTAGAGAATCCTCTAACCAAAGTTCATGGCGTATTGCGCTGACTTTAATCAGGGTTTTATTATTTTGCTTGAGATGTAGACTGAGAATCATTGGCTATCGTGAACCTTTCTACCGATGTGCTTTTGGCATCAAATTAACGGATCTCAAAACAATAGAACGCTGACCGATCCGGCCATTTAGACCAAACAGGCTTGGTCAAGAGATTTTATATTTTCGGCAAGTAAAATGCGTTTTCTTTTCAGTAATCACGGACAACGGAAAAGAGTTTCTTTGTTTCACGTATCCCGACTGGCATATCGTTCACAGTTCCCGACTTTTAACTTTTTACACTCACGAGTCACGGCAACTAAAAACAGCCGATCACGTTTCACGGAAAACCCCCATATTTACATTTAGAAATGGAGACGAGACGAGACGGACGAGACGAAATTATTTGTCCGACCATTTACTAATGCAGATTAAAAAGAAAATACCTACGACTAGCTGTCGAAGAATCATAGCGTGAAAACTGACAATTCTTAACCTTGGGATCCTAAAGGAATTTATGAAAAGACAAATCCGAATTTGCGGAAGCATTGTAGTAGCTATAAACGAACGATGCACTTACTTTAATTTTACCACTAGTGTTGTTTATCCATTCAGACTGGAACGATCTAGAGCGTATGAAAGAACTGAAGCGAAAACTTTTTCCAAACAGAATTTACATAAACTCAGTTCAACATTGCCTATATTCAGGGATACAACTCGTTAATCGACAGCAGATAAAGGCGTATTCTTTGCATTTTCTTCTCAATATATAGGACATTGTATTTTAATTTCTCCTTAGTGTCTTCCAAAATATACCACAAGCTGTGGTGGACATTATGTTGGAAGAAATCGAAAGTGATGACGCAGGAGTATTAACAGCTGAAGGCTTTTGAAAAGTCCCGCAGTATTAGTATTTAAGTCTTAAAACTCATTACACGGTCTTCAATGCAACTCTTTGCCTCTACCTTAAGTTAGACTTTGAGAGATATTTCTTTTACTGTGCGAAAAGGTTGGAAAATGTATTTGTTTTACGGGATGAGCGATCGTCTCGGTATTTGGTTAAGGTTTTTGCTTTCTCTTTTCTGTTGTGACTGCTTAAAAAGGGACTAACAGAGACATCGATTAGAAAGCGACAACATGAAGCGATCTTTTTTAGCCCTGTCAAGAAAGATGCCGTTTGCGCACTAGTGAACAAGTATCATAGACATTCATCTACTGATGGTGGTTGGTCTTGTTTTATACCTACCTTGAAATTCAAGTTTTTTGAAGGCAAACAATGGGGCTGATCAGCGTAATGATTTATATATCGGGAATGCGCAATTATATCACGAAATTCATCCTGAAACTTGTTCTCAGTGTTAAGAAGCCGACTGAGGTTGCGCTTCGACCGAGTCCTTCTATTGTTCTTTAGAAAGAGGAAGTGTGGCGTGATGTGCCATTTTTTTATGTTTGTTGGATTTATTGGCATGCATTTCAAGATCAAGAGGAGTTAATTGTTCCCAATTATGTTTTTTCGGAGAGAAATATCAACTTGTCACTATTCCTATAACCACGAGAATATTCGAGAATTTGAAAGCAATAACTCTCTAGAGAGCTCTCACAAGGTCCGAATTGGGAAACAACTGATATGCATGCTAACAGCAAGGTCTGGTCAAGAACGGTAAAGACAAAAAATTTGTATCCGATCTTGCAAATTCGCCTCCTTAACACTGAGAACGAGTTTCAGGATGAGTTTCGTGATACAATTGCGCAAATACCTTAACCAAATACCGAGACGATCGCTCATCCCGTAAAACAAAGACATTTTCCGACCTTTTCGCACAGTAAAAGAAATATCTCTCAAAGTCTGACTTAAGGTAGAGGCAAAGAGTTGCATTGAAGACCGTTTAATGAGTTTTAAGACTTAAATACTAATACTGCGGGACTTTTCAAAAGCCTTCAGCTGTTAATACTCCTGCGTCATCCCCTTCGATTTCTTCCAACATAATGTCCATCACACCTTGTGGTATATTTTGGAAGACGCTAAGGAGAAATTAAAATACAATGTCCTATATATTGAGAAGAAAATGCAAAGAACACGCCTTTATCTGCTGTCGATTAACGAGTTGTATCCCTGAATATAGGCAATGTTGAAGTTCATGTAAATTCTGTTTGGAAAAAGTTTTCGCTTCAGTTCTTTCATACGCTCTAGATTGTTCCAGTCTGAATGGATAAACAATACTAGTGGTAATATTAGAGTAACTGCATCGTTCGTTTACAAGCTGCTACAATGCTTCCGCAAATTCGGATTTGTCTTTTCATAAATTCCTTTAGGATCCCAAGGTTAAGAATTGTCAATTTTCACGCTATGATTCTTCGACAGCTAGTCGTAGGTATTTTCTTTTTAATCTGCATTAGTAAATGGTCAGACAAATAATTTCGTCTCGTCCGTCTCGTCTCGTCTCCATTTCTAAATGTAAATATGGGGGTTTTCCGTGAAACGTGATCGGCTGTTTTTAGTTGCCGTGACTCGTGAGTGTAAAAAGTTAAAAGCCGTGAGCTGTGAACGATATGCTAGTCGTGATACGTAAAACAAAGAAACTATTTTCCGTTGTCTGTGATTACTGAAAAGAAAACGCATTTTTTTCCGTGAAAAATTACTTGCCGAAAATATAGAATCTCTTGACCAAGCCTCTTTGGTCAAGATGGCCGGATTGGTCAGCGTTCTATTGTTTTGAGATCCGTCAATTTGATGCCAAAAGCACATCGGTAAAAAAGGTTTGTAGCCAATGCTTCTCGGCCTACATCTCAAGCAAAAAATAAAAAAGCCTGATTAAAATCAGCGAGCGAGCCCGCAATACGCCATGAATTTTGGTCAGGGGATCCTCTAGTGCAATAGTTGTTGCTTTGACATCTCATTGTGGAGGCGCAAGCACAGTTAAACTATTGCATTGGAGGCTTATTAAATTTAGGATCAAATAATATTACATTTAGGACTTTATTACATTTAGGACAAAATGTTATTACAGTTAGGACTTTATTACATTTAGGAAAGTTATTACATTTAGGACTTCAACATGAACCCTCACAGTACAAGATACGTACGAGAAAAGGAAAACCACTAATTAAGGTAGATTTGTTCTCACTTGATATGCTCTTTGAATTGTATGCGTTGATTAAGGTACAGAAAAATTGGAATGCAGGGTCTCTAAATTTTAATTCCAAACGCCTTGCAAGGTAACAGAAGCTGCAACGAACGGGGTTTCGGCCTATGATGGACTTACAAGCACGTTTTTCTTTGCATCGTGCTCTTTTGTAGATGTACCAGATGTACATTGCTCATCGACTTTCAATACCTAAAATTTGTCTTTATTACAATGTTGTCGTTCCGACACCCAGCTAAAGATTCGTACTTAAGGAGATTAACGTGGAAATTTGATTTCTTTCAAGAACTTTGCTGTTACGAATTTGTAGACACAGCTTCTATCGAGAGCGGAGGATCTTGAGTTGTTTTAGATTACTTAAGAACTTCTTCTAACTTATGCCCAGAAAAATTTGTATTTCCTTGAAATTAATCCTAAACAACACGATTGAGTATCATTCTGTTTTCATTCAGTATTTTGTTGGCTCAGAACACCTATTAGCCATCGCTAAAACAAGAGTGTCCTGCATGTTCTCGTTTAGTTCCCCTTTACTACCACTTGTTGATGACACAAGGACGTTAAACAGATCACGAACAATTATAAAAGATTTCCAATTTGTTTTTGATTTTCCAAGAGAAACTCTTTGAACACGGTCTGCAGTACTCAAGCACTGTGACTCCAGAGTAAGTGGGTAAAAACAAAAAAAAAAACAACAACAACAGACCTCCACCGACCAAGTTACTTCGGAATTTTCCTTAAAAGATCCGTCAGACTGTTTGAAAGTTCTATTGCAGGCGAAGGCAACGATAAGAAGGTTGATCATTCTGGACGTCTGCGTCCAATAGATGCAAACACGTATGATGTGATGTTCTCATTAGGTAGAAAGCGACCTCTGTATGTCAAAATAACGATAAAAATACTCTGCGATTTGAATTTTTTCATGTCACAATAATGCGACATGAATACCGTTTTCGAAAGGCAACTGAAGTGAACATTAAATTGTCACCTACCTTAAAACAAATGCCCTAGTGTTTGATTATAAACTGATCAAAAAGCTCCAAGTGGGTGTTTAGTGCTTTTTCAAGTACCTTATGGCCTACAGCACTTCACGATGCATACAGATCATTTCCTCCAGATACCTTATTCTTGGGATCACAGCTATCACTAACTGCTGTCGCTAATGAATAGAAATTTACATAAGCGAATTTCTTGACGTGTTTTGTTGAGCAATGTAATCAAACATCTGAACACGTATGTTTGCATGTGTCAATTTTCTATATCAACTCTAAAAAAAATCAAGTGACCCCACACAAAGGTTTCTTAATAATCGGTATTGCCAAGTACGATACTAAAGGTGTCGTTAATCTTATTTACAGTCACCTATGGATTAACCAGATTACGCTCGGATTATCTTAAAACACGTAAGCACTTTAGAGCGTCAAACGTTGCCAAACAATGGCTCGAACCAAAACTGATAGAGATCAGAATTTCATTGACCCTTCTAGAAATTAACAGCGTTTTTGCACGACTCGCCCGGGTTGTTTAAATAAGTGTATCAAAGAATTAGCCTTTTGTTGTTAGCAATTACCACCGATTCTTAAGATTAGTTGATTGATTTCGTGCCAGTTTGTGTGGCCTTTCGTCACGAATATGCTTGCTAAAAATCTCTTCAAATCATCCCATAGCTTGTTATTATCAAGCCTCTTTGTTCAGCAGCGAAAGGAGCAGGAGGGAAAGACATTTAGGTTTATTATTTCGTGGACTCCTAATGGCAATCAAAGCAGGAAAAATGTTTTGTAATCCTGGCATCTTTCGCTTAAGGTATTTTTGATCTTTCACCCTTTCGTTCCCACTGATTTTGATATCAACTTGATAAGTGAGAGATGAATTTTGATGACTCTACATAACTAAACGCAGTTAGTAGCCATACAGTACGAGGAATCTGCGTCATACCACTTCTGCGTAATGAAAAAAGTTCAAATTTATTCTACTCGGCTAGTGTATTTTCCTTTCAGGCCTCGCATATGTTCAGAATAAATCGCAGTTAGAAATTCATGATATATGCGTGGATATGGAATGAGTTATGATACCTCCTTGGCCGTGGACTCCTTACACTTAGCCTGTAACGCTGCAAACTCTTATACAGCCCACCGAGTTTGTAGATAAATGGTATGAAAGTATAATTTGGAATAGTTTGCTAACCAAGATAGTTGTGAATTTTATTTGTTATGAGCAAACAACTTGTCATGCTATGATTTAAAAGAACTTGCCATCACACACGTTGTTTATGGCAGTGTCACTTCAAGTGTCGAGTGCCTGCAGCTTTCTTAAGTTCGGTGACAGGAAAGCCGGTTTTGCTTACTCTCAACTAAGCTGCGCTCAAAGCAAGTCAAGAGGGCTCATTAAGTTTGTTTTGTTTGGTGTCCATGGCAACTCCTGCGCAATTTGGCTTTTGAACTAGTGAAAGTATGAAGTCATAAGTAAAACTTGTGATGTAATCGTTTGTCTACACGGATAAGTCAGGGTTCAGAAAGCTCGAGTTGTAATGTAGGTTGCGCAACTTTGATTTTTTTGAAAATGTCGAAGTTTTTCCAAGTGTCCCGTAATTCCATAATCTCACCACTGGGAAATAGTACTAACACTGAGGCACAGAAGTAGCAAAAGGTAATAGAGGTGCTGTTTCTCTACAATGGCTCTTAACCACGGTGCAAGCCTTGTAATTAAATATCTTAATCCACAATGGCTTGTGGAGACGATGTGGCGAAAAAATTAACACGGTAGCCTATGTGTCGAGGACTTACCCAGGTCATTGTGTGGGAAAAACACTTAATTTTGCTCTAAAATGCCTCTCTCCACCCAAGAGTAAAGATGATGGTTCCCGGCCAACTGTTAGGGAAACCTGACTAGACATTTAAGGGAAAGGGGTGGCCGAGGAGGACTGGCATCCTATCCAGGGATAAGCTACACCTGATGGGACACTTGGCCCGACAGACTTTACTTTTGATTCACAATGACTCAGCTAGGAAATGTTTAGCACTTTTACATTTTTTTTTTTTATTACACGTTTACTAAATTTTCAGAATGTCAACTGTGGATTGGCTGACCCGCAAATAGGCATCGTTACTCTGAGGTGGGTCAGTGATTAAGATTGAGATACCTACCTTAACCATATAAATATAAGCTAACTGCCAGAACTAAATTGTATTCAGCGTTGGGAAATACTTGCAATTTAACAAATTTTCTTTCAAATTTAGATCAAAAAGGAAATTATTGAGTGAAAGCTCGAATATTACTTAGCTGACAGGGAAATGGAGGAAATTGTAATGAGATCTGGGTAGATGTAGAGTTAATAATCAATGCGATTACTATTTATTCATGATTTTACAAATTTGATATCTTCGTAGCCGTAGTACTGGAGCCGTGAACCACTGAAAAATATGATCGTTTCAAAATTGGAACAAAAACAGAGTTGTAAAGACAATAATGAGAAGGATATTTTAGACAGTACTTGTATAAATATTTTAAATGTCTGTATCCTTTGTTGGCGAAACGGAGACTTTATAATGGACTTCGTGTCGATATATTCAGCAATTTGGTTTTGGAGTACAGACAGAAAATGATGAAATTGTCTAAAAAAAAAAACGGTAAAAGTAATGAAACGAAATTATACAGTACTTGTATCAATATTTCAAGTGTCTGTATCCGTGGTTGGCAAGAAGAAGACCTTGTAATAAGCTACGTGTCTATAATTTCAGCAATCTGTTTTTGGATTTCAGACAGAAGATTTTGAAATTGTTAACAGATATATTTTACTTATCGGCTTTAATCATGTTGCATAAAAATAAAGTTTACGCATTTATTGTGACGAAAGCTGTCAAAATTGACCCCTTTGTCACTGATATGTCATTTTCAAAGCATTTCATTATCATTTTGCGAAACGTCTCATTCTAGTGGAAACTTGTTACTTTTCGTGGAGACGTTTTAAATTGTTCTATCGATGTAAAGTAAGTATATATCTTGAAAATTATTATTAAATAAATGTAACGTGGAATATCAGCTGACCCTGGAATAACTTGAGAAGTTAATATAGCCTCAGTCCGTAATTAAGCTATTGTTGTGTTAAATTTTAGTTTGAAGAAAACGACTACCATCGTAGATCATATGCAAAGCTCAATGTCTTCTAAATTTGCCAAGATAAACATTGAAAAAAATAATAACAAAAATAAAATACAATAAAAAATTTGCCTAGGGCGAGTTGCATTTAATTTGTCTAAAGGCGTCACATTTGCCGATAGTTTAAGCCTTGAAGAAAGAGAATTGTGCTTTTACTTACTTACTCCATGTAATTATGAAAAAATTTCCCCTCGGGTTCGTCTCCTCGGAAATGGACAGTTTATTTGTCTAAAAATTTCACGACCGTCTTAACGCGTCCTATGGGTATCATGGCGTCAACCTTCGTGGTAGCTAGATACAAAAGGAAGTCTTGTTTTAAAAAGAATCATGATTTTACCGTCGACAGTGTTCCTTATCTCAGAGACGCGCAGAATGTTAAGATTCCACGTTGTTAAATTTGGAGACTTCCGCTTACGAATTAAATGTACTAAGATTTAGGGTGCCTCCTCAAAGGATGTTTTACTTATTTAAAATGTTTAGATCGCTTAGTTCTTTCGTTACCACACTGTTTCCTTGCTTTGATCGAGTTCTTTAACCACAGAAAATGAGCGACATTCTTTACCCTCCTCAGACCCTTGCTGGAAAACAGTATTGGTTGGGCATGGTTAGCCCTCGAAATGATTTCCCCTCACTGGACCGGCTAAAAAGTACACAAACTTGGTCCAATTCCCTTATCTTGTTTCCAACAAACTTTTCTGCGTTTGCAGTTAATTTCCAGATCATCATCGCAAAGGCGTAGATTCCTGCTGGGAACAATAGGAGAGCCTTCGATTTTCAGCAACCAAGCACTTACACAAAGTCAAATATCCTTTCTTTGTTTTCATCTTCGCAAGACTCATCGCTCGACTTTACACTTGTGTTCCAAATCAACGCAGTAAAGACACAAGTTATTAATCCAAAAATGAAGAACACGAATCCGAAAGCTATTAACACAACCGCCGTTTGTTGAGTAACATTCCAGCAAAATTCACTTGGAGCGTGTTCAACATAGCAAGTGAAACCAAAAAATAGGTAGATTGCTGCTGGAGTCAGGAACAAAAGAACACCTACAAAGAGACCGCACAAACCAAGATCCACCATCGTTTCTCGTAACTGAATATCTCGTACGTGCTTTCTGTTTGCTGTTTTGCATCAGCCACGATGATTAAGATCTGTTACTTTCAGATAACATCGTATTAACGAGCAGCCAACAGAGTATACACCTATATTATTGTGCAAATTTTCTTCTGGTAAATTCAAAGACTAAATTAATACACTGGCTTTAAAAGGGAAAAATGACTTGTTGAAACAGCTGGTCAGTCTGAATTATCTCTCAATTTCAATTTTGAAAACAGCGGTCAAGGGCAGTCTCCCTCAATGAAAAAAATTAAATAAGGAAAAAGGCTAAACCCTAAAATTGAAAGGTAGATCCTGCTTTGCAATCTATATTTGTAACTTCATTTTGTAAATTTGAGATGAATTCCGGATCAAGTAATTGTTATTATGGCTTTACTCTTGTTGATAAAAAGGGAAAATATAAAAGTTAATCTTCTCCTGTTAACAAGACAATAGAGACTACAATACAGCTGTATTTGTGAAATAATGCTATCAGCTTATTTCTCCTCAAGGCAGCCAGTCTTACTAAATCCTTTGATTGAGATCGAATTGCTTATGAACAAATCAATAGGGATGGATTGACAATTTTGTGGCTGTTGGAGCGGAGGCTTGTGAAAAGCGTATAATATCCGGTGCAAAAGAAGCCAGTCTGGAAAGGTATATTGAAATAACCGTATCTCAAGCTTTTGCATTTAGCATTTCTGTCGGTGTTCATAAAGTGTATTTTTTTATTTTTATTTTGATTGTCCACGTAATGTTGCACATTCCCTTTCTTTTAATTATGAATTATTCGAATACCCCTCCCCCCCCTCCCCCC